TGGATCGTTGGTAGGTTGTTTCTAAAAATTGTTTACAGCTATACAGCAGAGGCTTTTGTGGTTGTTGTTGTTCATCTTCGATCAATAAATCCGGTTTTCGGACAAAAACACAGAGAGAGAGAGGGTGAGGGAGAGAGATAAAAAAAGGCCACAAATATTTCCTATACGTAGATTTTTGATTAACTTTCGCCTAAATAATTGCACAATAAAAATTGTTTGGAATTTCTGTTGTTGCTCCGATCGCTATTTTTTTTTTGCTCAGCACAAAGTTCGACTTTGGATTGGATACATATGTATATATATCCAATGTGTATGGTATATGGTATGGGTGCAGACAAATACAGCCACAGTGAAGCTAGGGGGCAATGTCTGTGTATCAATTAATGTTCTGCTGTTTGGGGCTATTTATAGATTTTGCGGTAAATTTGCTAATAATACTCAAATTTCAACAATGCAGCACCCACACCCACACCCGCGTTCTAACGCTCGGTCCGCTCTGCTTTGGGTCCATTATTGGTGGTCCCCAGTTAAGAATAATAAAAATCATGCTATTTGATCCATGATTCATGGCAAAACTCTGCACGATCTTCGGCTGTATAGATGTGCGCCCGACCACGAATATTTGGCCAGAAATCGGCTGAGATTGCCGATCACCGAAGATCGGAGCAAACTGCTCTAAATAAGGCCTTGGATGGAGCGACGGATGGCTAATGCTGATTGGCCAGGCAATCAACGGGCAATCAGCGTGCAGATCAATATGCTCACAGATCCAAAGATAGAAATCCGCGAATATGAACTCGAATCGATGGAGTGATAGCTCCTTTTGGGCTGCAGCCAAACTGATTTTGGAAATACGAATTCGAATTTAAGGTCTTCATTTCGAAGCCAATAAAAGGGGAAAAACAAGTCTTAATCATTCGATGAGATCCATAAAGTTTCCACTGCATTATCCCATAGAAAAGCCATTCGAAAACTCTTGGGAGAAATCCCGTTTAATTAAAGTATATGATGTGTGACTTTTATAGTGCACTTATTCCGGCACATTTGGGTTCGGTTCGCAATGCTTCGAACGCTATTAAAATCGCATTACCATTGCCCCATTGCGAGGGTACGACCAAGAGACTCTCCCTCCGCTCAAGAACAGAGTAGAGAGACATTCGGACGGACAGATGAACAGATGGAACGGGCAGACGGAGACGGGGTACCAGTTTGAGGTCTTCACTGTGGTCCTGGGCCTCAGCTCTTGGCTATGGGCCGGGCCACATCGATGTTCATGATGATGATGATGGTGATGGCTAATAGCTTTGTTAGCTCTTGTACGTTTGTCTGGCTTGTGACTTTATTATGTCGTTCGATGCATTCATTCATTCCATTCCCAATCCCAATCCCATTCGCATTCGCATTCCCATTCCCCTCTTCTCCTGACATATCAAATTCGTTGACTTTTGTGGCTGTTGTTGGCCTGGCCCATTGTCTTGGGCAATCGTCAACGTCATCGACTTAAGGCTGGGTCTGGATCTGGGCCTTGTCTTCATATGGAGTTCGAGCAGGGGCTGGGGCTGGCACTGGGGCTGAGGCTGAAACTGCAACTGTAATCGTTCCCCCATCCTTCAGTTTGGTTTCGGTTTCGGTTCCGTCTGCCTGTCATGTGAATTTGTACCAAATGGAGTTGAAATCTCGAACGAGTCTTGCCCCGAAGGGCCTGCCATTTGACAAATGTGCGTTTTTAGCCGTCTCATTGTTGTGGCAAACAGACTTCGATATGCAAATACATTGAAATTAGTTGCCAGGCAACCAGGCAACCAGACAAACAGCCAAAAACCGACAAACCCTCCAAGCCGATCCGAATCAGAGTCTAAGCTGGAGCTCCAGCTGGAGACGTAGCTGGAGACGTAGCTGTAGCTGTAGCTGGGAGTCGTGTCTTGTAGTCGCTCTTGTGGAATTTGCATGATTCGCTAAAGTTTGTTGGCTCTGCTTTGGCGCCATTTGAGGGGGATTACGACTGATCTCTGGGCCTTAATGGTTATGCTTTCGATGCTGATGTGGCTGATGTAGCTGATGTGGCCGCGCATTCCGCTGTTAATTGAATTAAGTCGGCGACATGGTCCACTCCGAAAGTAATTGGCAGGAGGCAGGCAGGCAGTCCACAGCCAGGCCAGGCCAGGCCAGGCCATGCAGCCAACTTGCACTTCTAGCCAGGCTTTTTAAGTGGAACCTGCGATGGAGAGTGTGATAAGCCGCCGGCGGGTTTCGGCTCTCGGCTCCCGGCTGCCATGGCAGCCTTCGGGGCAGCCGACGACTACCGACTACCTACCGCGCATTATTGGGGTCCCGTCTAGACGTCGTCTGCGTGCCATGCGTAACGTAACCCTTTCGGGTGGAGACCCAGAGCCACACCAATTTGTTGCAGTTCCCTTTCAAGTGCAACGCAACGCAACCCCTGAGCCATTGTGGAGTTCGCTTAATTGCCCTGGCCTTGCCGCACGGGCAGGCAGCGCCGGGCTGGGCTGGGCTGCTTGACGCCATGTCGGAACCATTAGAAACCCCAATCGCAGTCGGGACAAAGCCTATAATCACTGGCCGCAGAGCCACTCGCAGCACTCGCAGCACTCAGCCCTCAGCCATTTTAATTGGCACGACATCGTCAAAGTCGCAGTTGGAGTCGGCAAGCAATGCCGCCGGGCGGTCAATTATACACATTACCGAACAGAACAGAACAGAACAGAGATACTCGTATAAGCTCGACTTCTCATTAAATGGCTCTCGCTAATTCACACTATTGCCCCACTAGGAGTACTTATTTATAGACCAACCTTAGGCACAGCTGCCGTCCGAGTGGCGCAGTTTGTTGCTCTTGACAATTTCCCAATCGACAAAACGACCGACACTCGATCGCACATTAACCCCAGCCACAAACTTCGCAGCACAGCCACTCGACAGATTTGGCGATTCGGCAACTACGCACGCCGTATGGCCTCTACACACATGTGGCACGATCATCATCAGCATCAGCAGCAGCAGCAGCAGCAACATCATCGTTATGAGCCTGAACAATGAACCCACACGATAAGCCGAAAGCAAAGCAAAGATCGTTGAGAGCGAGACCCAGCGATCCAATTCAATCCAATTCAATTCAATCCAAATGAAATCAACTTCAGCGCCAATGTTCTTCAAGAACTGTATGTCGAATGGTTCTTGAATGGGGAAATCACTTTGACACTGAAGTTATATACGAACGAGCATTACATAATGCTCACGATCTGCCCCAGTACTAGAACCAGAACCAGAACCAACTTCGTGCCAGTTCTTCCTGTTTGTGGACTGATGAATGATGATTGGTCCGTGTATCAAACTCATCTAACAAAGAGACATGCCTTCTGCTTGTGGCAGCTTTGTAATTAGTACACTTTCCTTTGCAACGCACTACAAACGTCTAAAAGTAGTTCCCACTTCTGTTCTGTCCGAGCATTGTCCTTGTCAACTGTGAACCGCTTGACAAATTGCAGCTAATCAACGGTCAACGGAAACAAGAACACCGGCCGTATCTCGGTGCTCCGTTCCGCTCGGCTCGGCTCGGCTCCGCTCCTCTCCGATCCAATCCGATCCGATGGGCACGTAGTCGATCGCCTTTGCTGTTGCTGTTGCTGCATTTGTTTTTGTGTGTGGCACCTTATCAATTGCAGAAATTTACATATTATTCGGAGCGTTATATACATAGTCACATACATAAATACATACATACTCTTATCAGTCGCTTTGTTGTGTTGTGTGTGACAAATACCTTAGAATAAGGGTATACAGGTTTCGCTCTCTTTTTCACTTTCTCTGTGTAAAGGGTAGGTCCCCTTCGATCATTTTCCCACATCCTCGGCACTTGTTCGCTTGACTTCCACTTGACAGGTCAAGCACCGTTTTGGACGTTTTTCTCCCACTCGGATGGATCGACTGGGAACTGCGTTGGGGATTGGATTGGATTGGGATTAGGTGATTCATAGTATAGTCCGTCGAGAGATTCGTATCCGCATTGGGCTCGGTTCGGTTCGGTTTGGTTCGGCGTTTGACTGGCGCCACTTTGAAGCTGCCAGAAATCAATAAAAATTCAAACAGAGAAGCTAAAAGAAAACAAATCTTTGGCCAATTCGATGGCTGTTGCTGGTTGTTGCTTGTTGGTTGGTTGTTCAAGACAAATAATAAAAAATTATGCGGCAACAACAGCAACAGCAATCGAAATTAATTATAACTCAAACAAGCATTACAATATTCCCGGGCTGGCGCCAGCCAGTCAAAGATCATTAACATTTTTATGATCCGACACCCGAACAAAGAGCCACCACACATAAGGCTCATATCGGTTGTTACCTGAACAGCCGTCAGCCAAGAGATACACGGATAGACAGATTCAGATACAGCTACAGCTACAGACACGGACAGTACGCACCCATAAATCGCAAAACTAATAATGTCCAAGTCGTCTTAACACCTCTCGATAGTCGGGCATGACAAGGGCGGGCCGGAGGCTGCGCTGATGATTCGCAGAATTCGTATGTTGGTGAAAGAACAAGAGCCAAGAACCATACCGCACCGAACCGAACCCATGGGCTAGATAGATAGATAGATAGATACCTCCTCCATCTGTGGACATCATCTCATTTTCTGGGTACAGGCGTCGTAAAACCAAAAACGAAATGATTTACTGGCCAAATTTCACTCAGGGCGGCAAGTGCAAAGTCTCTAGGTCAGATCAGAGCCGCGGCAACAGTTGTGGCACGCACACACTGCCACATACAGCCAGTACTGCCTGCCACAGACAGTTCCTCCAAAAATATTCTAAATTTAATCCGAACAAACAACAAAGTTGTATTGTAGGTACAAAGTGGTGCAAAACACCTGCAGCATATCCAAACAATTCTATTTTGACTCGCTTGCTGTTATTTTTAAACTAACCGGCTTGATCGTGATCTTTCAATTCATTTCTCCCCCGAAAACCATATTTCCTCCAGTCATAATTCACCGGAGCAACTGCAACCACAACAGCAACAAACGGGAAGCACACCGCTGGACAGAGATCAACATTCGCAGTACTTCGCAGGAATCGCGGGGGAACAATCCAAGGAAGAGCATTGCAAGCGGAAAACTAATAGAGATTTCTGAAGAACTCGATCGAATTTTGAAAATGTGTTGCAAATCGAGTGGCAAGTGGAAACCTTGTGGCCCGTCTCCCACTGGACAGCAGCAGCAGCCGCCGCCAGAATCAGCATCAACATTTAGGCGGCAAACAAATTGGAGAACGATTCGAGTCCCTACACTCGCACTGATACTGCTCTCGATGCTCCTCCAACTGCAGACGACTGCCGCCGGTGTCGGGGATAGTCTTCATGGTGAGTGCTCTCATGATCGTGGCGATCGATCGATTTAATGTATTGTAAATACTCGTACTCGAGCGCGTTGTGTGCAACAGATCACTTGAGAACGATTACTTAATGGCCTGATGGGAGCGTGAAGAGATCATTTAAGATTTACGCTCCATTTCCCCATTAAGTAGGCGATCGCTTATGAAGATCTCTGTGGGAACGGGATTCAATTTAAGCCCTCTATAAGACCGCATCCATATATTTATTAGGTAGGTATTTTGATTAGTCTATTAACGATGTTTTTATGATGCAAGTGAGGACATGTTTCGAGGACCCAAAATTAATTTCGTCATTGTTTGAATGGCAATCTGGTGGCCATAAACTCCATTTCAAATCTGATCGTAAAACTCCCAAGCAGATACCTCCTCCACCTCTATAGAGATCAACACATTCTTCCAGTGTTTTGAAAATATTATTCAAATATTTCCCACAGTTTCTTCTCCGCAGCAGCCAGCCCCTCTGCCCAGACTTAGTTATGGCTTATGGCTATGAATCATGGATTTTAACTGATTTTAGCTGATTTTTACGAGCTTATAACAGCTTTGGCTGGCATCTGGCAGCTGCAGCGATTATACTCGTAGATCGGCTTTGTTATTCCGATCACTTTCCAGGGAACTTCCAGCAATTGTGTCACTGAGTCATCATCACTGGCATTGTGATCGACTTTGGAGGGTCGCACCTTTCGCTGGGTGTTGCCTTTAATCGGTTGTACTTTGTCGAGATCTCTGGGTCTGGGTCTCTGAAAATAGTTTCTGGTCTCGCTCTCCTGTTGTTAGGCGCACGCTCCCTCGAACACGTGCCTCCTCCACTCCCCACGATCTCCTCCCGCTGTGGCTGGCGCTTAATCTGCGAACTGTGATTAATTAGCGAACGGCGCCGCCGACGCCAGCCGCTGAGGGGTGGTGGAGGAGGAGGGTGGTGCGGGAGCAGCTACCGCCGGAGAGCGTAATCCTATGAGTCTTTCCCTCTCTATTCACTCGGCTTCTAAAACATTTTTGATTGGACTTTTTTTTATGGTGTTTCAAGTGTGTTTTACGAAATAAAAAATCGCATAAATTAGATATATTGCAGCGCCGATATATGTATCGGGTTACTTGAGCCAAGTTCATTAACTGTTCTGTCCCCCAGCGACGCAACGATAACGATGGAGCGACGAAAAGAGAAAGGAATATAGAAAGTCCCCGCCGGCAAACGAGAAATAACATTTTTTATTTTTTTTTTGTGAAGGGTGGTGGGGGGCGTGCTGGTGATTTTCCACTTGATTTGTTTACGAATCCAAACAGTAGGACACAATCGTATAACAGGAAAGAGCAAGAGGAAGAAAGAGTAATCCGGAGGTATGCAGGTCCATCATCAAAGGTTTCCCCTTCCCACCACACGAAACCCCAAACAAACAACGGAACAAATTATATGGATTTCACAATGGCAAGGGTGAATTGGGAAGGGGCAAGCGGGGGATCAAGCACAGGAGGAAGAACGATAATAAGTCCTAAAACCGCCCACAGAGCGCAGCAGCAGCCAGCAGCAAGAGCAGAAGAAAAAGGTAGCACAATTGCATGCTCTCTCCCTCCAGCCCTCTCCCGCACTCAGTTGAAGCGCCAGCGCCAGGGTCTGTCTTCATTTATCACTGCACACAAAAGAGAGACAGAGAAGGAGAGTTGCTTGCTGCTTGCATTTCTGTGTGCGTGTGTGCGTTTATCAGCACATTGCAGGTGGTCTCTTCTCCTCCTCCTGCGCCAACACAAAAGGAACGAGAGTTGGGCTGAGGCTCGGGTCACCACCACTCGTCTCCCTCTCTCACTCGCCTTGGTTTCCGTTTGCCTTTTGCTGCGCTGTTTCACTGCTGCTGCTCTTTTGTTGTTCTGGAACATGTTTCGACATGCACTGCTTGGCCAAGGTGTATTTATACAGAGGTGAGACATCACTCGAGAGGGCTCCCAGTAGTCGCTCTATTTGCTTTGGTGCGTGCAAACAGAACGACTCAAAGCCGAAAATGCACCACCCTACATAAATACACCCTTTGTGGTGGCGCCAGCAGCAGAGCAGCAGGTAGCGGCGCAGACGGAGGAATCCGAGCCCCAAAAGGTTAACCAAACAAAGACGCACTCTTTCGCTCTCACACGGCCTACCCCGCTAAGTGGCCTAATCTCTTTGACCTGAAGGGGACACGGGATAGGGGATAGGGGAGGGGGGCCTTCTCCGTTTTGGGTCACGTGCTCGGATACCATCTCTCCGTCAGTGGGCAATTTCCGGCGCTTCTCGTTGCGTGTTTGTGCATGAATGAATTATCTGTGTGTGTTTGCCGAGTATTATTACATCAAGGGGCAGGAAATGGTGGAACCGGGGGATTTACGATTTACGATCCCCCGATAAGCCAAACCCCTCCTCTGTTACTATCTTAATCACTAATCAAAACTTGAATTCCCATTTCAGGCGATCTTCTGTCCTGCTCGGTCGAGGGAGAGGAGGTTCTGACGGGCATCCAGAACTCCAAGTGCTTCAAGTGCATCTGTCAGGTAAGTTTCGGAGGCACTACCAGTACAAAGAGCGTCCCCTCGTATTCCCAACCCAACACTGGGCGGCTCCTGGGATCCTTGCCAAGACTTGGACTAGGACTCGGCCTTTGGCCTCGATAAAAAGTCACTTAAAGGGGAATGAAATAAAATAACCTAACATGGCCAGCACGGCCTCAGTGCTAAAATAAATCTCATGTACTGTCGTGTCCTGTTCTGCCCTGTCTGGCTCCCTGCATGAGGCGACGCCAGTGTCCAGCCAGCAGGACATCCACACGCAGACACATTTCATTGAAATGGAATCCTTAGCCGCCTGCCAAAATGAAAATTCCAAAAATATTTCAAATATCTGTGTACATATAACTGTCCGTCCGAAGAGTCCGACACACCATGTCTGTGCGTGCCGGCTGTCTTTTTGTGGAGGGGCCGATACATACTACATATAGTCATTACTCGAAGAAATGCAGGAGTTGTGGATCTGGCCGGAACCGGCTGAAAATGTTTGGCTCTGTTTGCATTTGTTTGGCTTCACCTTCTTCCTCTCTCTGGCTCACTCGCGCTCTGCGGATCTCCCTCTCTATCTCACGCCTTTGAATTTTTATGATCCAAGGTCGTCAAACGGGTTTCGACGCTACATGACAATCGTTAACCACAGTGTAGGACGGGTATGGATGGTATGGGTAGAGGTAGAGGTATGGCTTAGCGATCGTTTGACAAACACTTGGCGCCGCTGCCGTGATTTTTCGTCGCCAGCTACCGACGGGCTTCGATCCCGGGTCTCCGCTACTCTTCCAGTCCCCCGTTCCCGGCTCGATCTTCAGCTTCGTGTCGTCATTAAGCGAGCGCGTGCTCATCTAGGGGGAGGGGGAGCTGGACCTCGTCAGGGTTGCCAGATAGCTGCAAGTGGGGCTGCCGCTAATTTAACGCTAAGCGCTGCTAAACGCCGCTGCTCCAATTTGACCGACAGACGCCGCTGCTGCTGCCGCTGCCACCGCCGCCGACGAAGCTGGCGCCGATCATTCCGATCGATCCCATTCGATCGGGAGCTGCTTCGCTTCGCTTCGCTTCGTCCGATCGAAGCTCTTTCGCTCCGGGCTAAGCTTCGTTGTGATTATTATTTCCATTGTGGCGGCCGTCGTCGTCGCCGTTAAGTGGGCGTAAAACCGAAAACACAATGCTGGCGCCACCTTACTGGGAAGGCGCCATGACCAACCTGCCGTCCCTCTCTAGCACGGCGGCCCCCATGCTGCATCTCTGTCGCTCCGACAGTTCGACAGTTGATGCTCTGCTGCGTCGGCGCGCAGCTCATTAAAAGTTCATGAAATCGAATTTAATTTGTGTTTCGTTTGTGCTGCTCTTAAGGTCTTCGCGTCTCTCTCCTCTCCCATCGGTAGCTCTCTTGCTCTTACTCTGGCCTCCCCTCTCTTAGGGCTGCCAAAAAAGTTCCTCAATGAAGTGTGCAAAGCGTTCAACTGTAATTTGGGGGAAGCACGCATAAACCCGATACTTTACGACAGAGAGACTGTACCCGACCTCACACTGTCACTGGCACTCATTATTCGAACGGGTACTCGCTGTGGGGGAAACTTTTACGACTGGCGTTTATTGTCTAAAATATATTAGTATACAAATCTCCATATAGCCGTATAGGGAAGCTTATCCCGTCAAGGACAATCAAAGAAATTGTCTCACAGACTGTCTCTGACAACGCGTCGACAAATTTTCGGCTTTATTCGTTTATTATGCTGAATCCGCTGAATTGCTCCTAATGGTTTATGATTTAACGGATTTTATGTTTTGCCCACCCACCCACTGCCTGCCACTACCTCCCCAGGATGATTTTCTCTAGAGAACTGTTTACGATAGATATTTGCAAATTAAATTTGGGGATAAAGTTATATTTTCGTGAAGGCTGCTGCTGCTGACTCCTGACTCCTGATTAATATTAATGAAGGATTTATGATCAGGAAATGGCAATCATCGAAGCACTTTTGCTTACGGAGGAAGACTGAATTACCGGATTGGGACCATCAATATCTTCCGCTGGAGGCAGCATGAGAGCGAGCATTCACATGCTTGATATGTGCAAATATTTCAATAATTTCGCCAGGTTCAGTTTAAGCCATGTAGAATACTGGAGCACGGGCAAACCAGATCTGGCCAAATATTCAGGTCTGCCAACTCCTTTCTTGCATATTAGTTGGAATTCCATTCAAAACTAGGTCCGATTACGATTCCGATTCCGAGTTCAATTCCACTTCCAACTCGAGCCATAGTCCACAAGTGACAGAATACACATGACCATAAAACCACAAGACTGTCATTACCATATTCACTCCGTGTCTAAAGAGACAGAGACTCTAACCTGGCCAAGTTTGCCGGGCAAACGTTTGCCGTTTTGCCGTTTGGACCAACATGGAGATGGCTAATACGCGCAGAGACAGAGATGGTGAGAGAGGGAGAGCGAGAGGGGCAGCAACAGAAATAGAGACACAGACGGTGAGGGAGAGGGAGGCGAAGACGGTGTTAAAACTGATCATGTTTTGTCAAACGCAAGGTCGTTAGAGGCCGTTTGCAAATGTGGTTCTGCCACTGTGGCACACATAGGCACACACACACACACTCAAACACACATACACACACGCTGCCGCTGGGCAACAACCATTCTACTTAGCTGCTTGGGTTGCCATCGTGGCGCCTTCAATCTCTCTCTCTCTCTGTGTGTCTCCCTCTCCCTCGTGGAGTGGAGCACAAATGTGCTTTAACTTTCATGTTGGCTGAACATTTTTCCATACCGGTTCCAGATTAGAAAGAAAGAATTCCAAAGCATAAACAGCTGTAGATAGAAGAGGGTTAATGGGAATGGGAACGGGCAGGGGGCAGAGGGTACTCGGTGGACAAGTCCAAGTCGCTGCCAGATTTCGAGAGCATTTGAACTTTGATCCGAGCGACAGAAGGCGATTAAGGTGATATTCAATTGCATTTTATGGCTGCCACAGAAAAACAGACACAGATAGAAAGAGAGATACCGACAGAGAGGGAGAGAGAGCGAGAGGGAGAGAATGCCATACTAAAGTGGCATTAAAATTCCAACTAGCAACTGCCATTAAATCTAATACGATGATAAACATCTCCCCTCCTCTCAGACACCCGTCGCATTTTCATTTTCATTTCATTTTCATAACAATTGCAAATTTTGCCCGTTGCCGTTTTGCCCCATCCAAATTGAGATCCAATCTGGTTTCGTTGCACTAAATTATTCCACACACACACACACACACACACATAGACAGTGGATACCCTCTCGAAGCCCCCAGACATTGTTCGGAGCAACTGCATACAAATTAGTGAAATATTTTGCCTGTTTTTGGTCGACATCTATCTAGATTTATAGATACATTTACAATTAGCGGCGGCCCCAGCCGCAGTCGCAGTCTCAGCCTCAGCCTCAGATCCGAGGCGACTCGGGCCCGGTCTGGGACTGGGACTGGGTCTGGGTCTGGCTTTAACCTGTCACAGTTACAGCCACCAGTCTGAGCCACCAGCTGCGCACAAGGGTTAAAGGCAATTGCATAAGCCTGGCAAGTTGCAACAATTTGACTTATGATCGACATCAATTCTAATGGGCCGCGTTGCAGCTGTCAGCATGTCGTTAACGAGCAGAAAACTCCAGATACATAGATACACCGTGCACCCATAGATAGTCGTGCCCATAAGCCGATTCGAGCCAAATGGTGTGACCAAAGGTGGTGGGCAGGGATTGGGCGCTGGCTGGGGATCAGCTAACGAGTGGGGCAGCTTTAGGGATAAATTACCGGAGCATAAATCATCCGCATCCGAGAAAAACTCTGCATAATCCCAGCAGAGCCGGGCCCCGTGTCCCGCCCCGGCCTCAATCGGAGACAAAGTCAAGGCAACCGCCACGCCCCTGTCTGGATTCGCTAGCGTAAATTACAGCGGAGGCTGGCTGGCGCTGGGCTGGCTCCCCGAAGGTCAGAGTGCACAGCTTCATTGAGCAATTGCGAATGGCAGGCAGCTGTTGGGCCGGGGAGAGGGCTCGAGATGCAAATCATGTGCTTGGCGACTCTGACAGGCATCTCTCACTCGGGGAAATTGCGCATACGCCACATGGGATGCCAGAATACATTTAACCAGCAACTTCCTCCCTAGCTCTACAGCCACATTCATTGCCTTGTTCTTTTGACCCCACAGAACGGCTTTGTGAACTGCGCCAAGAGCTGTCCGGCCATCGACGACTGCTACCTGCTGGAGTCCAAGCTGGAGTCCAGTGACCCTTGTTGCCGCAAGTGTAAAGGTAAGCCCCACAAAGGAAGAGGATTTTCAGAGAAGATGCTTTAATCTGAGATTCCTTTGCTCCACAGGTTGCATCTTTCGTGGGCTGCCCTATGCGAGTGGCGCCGAGTGGAGCGACCCGGAGGATCCCTGCAAGACGTACAAGTGCATCGCCAGTGTTGTCACCGAGACAATACAGAAGTGTTATTCACAGTGCGACGACAACCAGCTGCAGGCGCCGCGCCCCGGCGAGTGCTGTCCCACCTGTCGGGGTAAGTTCTTTTCTAACATCACATATCACTCCGACCCGTCCCGACCCAATCCGATCACTCCGAGCGATTCCAGTTCAGTCCACGCCGAGCATCAGAGCATCAACATCACTCACTAAAATTAGCTGCAACCTCAGACTAATGCCCCATAATCGCCAGACAAAAGAGTGCCATAGAGCGACAGATGGTCAACGATTTGTCGGCATAGCAATACTCTACCCTACCACAGGGTTGTATGGGTGAATGGTGAAAGATGATCATTAGATGGATAGAGATTGATACTTAATACATATTAGTAGAGGATCACGTGCAGCTCCTTTCGATGCAGACGTCGATAAGATCGTTCAGCTCTAGAGCTGCCCAGATTGAGTCCAAGAAAGCTTGACATTCGATATCCAATCAGATTAAAGATCATTGAGACTTCTTTATGACTCTATTATCAAATGATTTATTCATGGGGCATTCCGATATTCGAGTCGGACCCTCGGACCCTCTTCCGATCTGTTTTGATCCGATCTGCCGCCCCTCTGTTATTGTTGGCTGCGAGCGATCTGCTGGTTTATGGGCTTTAAATTGTCTATTAAGGGGACAATGTCGCCCCATCTGAGAAAACAACCAAATCAGACTGCAAATCCGGGCCTTCCTATGAGTTGAAAACCCGTTTTGGGCGATCGCCTTGTGGAAAATTTCTTGGCTTGCGGCCAAACATCGGAAAGCGATCTAAATCATATGCGAGGAATAATAGGCCGATGTCTGATGGGATTCGATGTGCTTAACTCTTTGGCAGGTTGCAAGATCAATGGACAGACGGTGGCAGAGGGCCAAGAGGTCGTCGCCTCGATCGACGACCGCTGCTTGGTCTGCCAGTGCGGCGACAACCAGTTGACCTGCGCCAAGAAGACCTGCCCCATTCTGCAGTGCCCCAAGACGAAGCAGAAGCAGCACCCGAACGAGTGCTGCCCCCGCTGCACGGAGCAGCGGGTCTTCATACCAGTGACAGGTGAGAGGAGTCACCCAGCCGCCCTAATGCACCCTCTTCCATGTCTGCATTCCCTTTTTTCATGCCTCCACTCCCTTCGCTCTCCAGGAAAATGCATCTTCAACAACAAACTCCACTATGACAAAACGCAGTTTACGCCGGACCGCTGCACCAACTGCACCTGTCTGAACGGCACCTCCATCTGCCAGCGGGCCACGTGCCCCATCCTGGAGTGCGCGCCAGAGTTCCAGGAGGACGACGGCTGCTGTCCCCGCTGTGCGGTGGCCGAGGTTCGGAGCGAGTGCAGCCTGGAGGGGATCATCTACAAGAACAACGAGACGTGGAACATGGGCCCCTGCCGGAGCTGCCGCTGTAACGGGGGCACGATCCGCTGCTCAGAGATGCGCTGCCCGGAGGTGAAATGTCGCGCCAACGAGGAGCTGAAGCTGCCGCCGGGCGAATGCTGTCCCAGGTGCGTGGAGACGGCTGGCACCTGCACCGTGTTCGGGGACCCGCACTTCAAGACCTTCGACGGGAAGTTCTTCAGCTTCCAGGGCAGCTGCAAGTACCAGCTGGCCGCCGACTGCCAGGGGCACAGCTTCCACATCCGGCTGACAAACGACGGGCGCGGCACAAAGCGCTCCAGCTGGGCCAAGACGGTGACCCTCAAGCTGCACAACCTGCGCATCAATCTGGGCCAGAAACTGCGCGTCAAGGTGAACGGGACGCGGGTGGTGCTGCCGTACGAGGGCCGTGCCGGCGACCAGAACGTAACCATCGGGCGGCTGGCCGAGGGTGGAGGCGTCCTGCTGCGCTCGGAGATGGGCCTGGCCATCGAGTGGGATGGCAGCGGTTTCCTGCAGGTCTCGGTTCCGGCCCACTTCAAGCACCGGATGTGCGGCCTGTGTGGCAACTTCAACGGCAGCGGGCGCGACGATCTCACGGGACGCGACGGCCGGCCCCACGGCGACGACGAGGTCTGGCACTTTGCCAACTCATGGAAGGTGGGCGGCCCCAAGTCCTGCTCCCGCCCGCGCGAAAACATCGCCGCCCTGCCCACGTGCAACAAGCGCCGGTCGAGCTTCTACTGCCAGCCGCTGCGCGTCTCGGAAGTATTCGGAAACTGTGATAGTAGGCTTAATCCCATCAACTACATTGACTCCTGCCGCATGGACGTCTGCGAGTGCCCCTCGGGCAGCTGCCACTGCGACAGCTTCGCGGCCTACGCCCACGAGTGCCGCCGCCTCGGCGTCCAGCTGCCCGACTGGCGGACTGCCACCAACTGTCCCGCCGGCTGGAGACGGAATGCCACTCTCGCGAACTTCCTAGACAACGAGTACTACGGGGATAGCTTGAGGCGCTTTCCCGGTCCAGGCTCCCCCAAGGGCCGGCGACGCAAGCAGCAGCACCTCCAGCATCTGCAGCAGAGCCAGCATCAGCACCACCAACAACACCAGCACCAGAAGCAGAACCAGCTCCTGGACAATGATTTCATTAAGAAGCATGTCCCCAGCAGCCTGTTGCAGCAGCGTGCGCCGGATCGCACGCCGCCGCCACTACACTGAGTGGAGGACTGAGAACGAGCCAGCCCATCTCCTCTGCCATAAGTTACTACACACACACACACACACACACACACACACATGCGTACACTCTCTCCCACTCGCACACACATTCTCTCACAGGCGAAGACAACTTTTCGTAGCATACTTTTAGCGGCAGCCAAAAAGAAAGAGAGAGAGAGATGGAACGATAGAGAGTGATAGAGAGAGGGGAAACTTTTAGTTGAATTTGCTCCCATGACAGACAGACAGACAGACAGACAGACACGACATACAGGCAGCAGTATTACGCTGAAGCATTACGAACAGTCCTCTGGAAACAGGCAGATATACATACATATATATATATATATATATATGTATATATGTATATATATATACTTATGTATAATGTACTATCCATCAATGAAACTCATCCTCAAACTGTCGCCATTTCGCATAGCCTAAGTTTTATTTATTTTAGCTTTAGTAAAGGAATTTTCATGATTAGATCAAAACGGCTCTGTAACTACTATATATGGATGTATTTTATGTTGGAAGTACTCGTATAATGATGATGATGATGTTCGTTGATTGATGTTTGTTGTGTGTGTGCCTGATTTTGTATTTGTATTTGTATTCCTGTATGTGTGCATTACGTTATGCTAGTTGACTAATGGAACTCTAGCTAGAACTCCTAAATGGTCGCCCAGCTAGCCAAGTGTACTCGGAGGTAGACTTGAACCTAAACCTAGCTGAAGTTTGCATAATATTTAAGCCCTACGCCTAAGCCCTACGCCCGAACAGCACCTAGAACACCTACTACTACAATACTACTACTATACATACGTATGAGAATAGCACAAACAGTATTTTTGCTTAGTTGAAAATTGAAACTTGAACGAAGCCCAGAGAGATGCAATCCATCTCCAGTCTCGTACTCGTACTCGCACTCGCACTCGCACTTTTACTCTCCTACTCTCCAACTCAACTACTTAGCCAGTTCGAAGAAGATCTTTCCAATTTCCAATTCCGCTTACAAACCTTTCAAAATTTACCCCCAAAACTGTGTTAATATTTATAAACCCCTATCTATGAAACTACTACTCCAACTACTCGTACTTATGCACTACTCGTAACCCTACGTAACCGTAACCGTAGCCCCGAAGGAATTCTGGTGGAACGCAAAAGGAGATGCTCTTTGCCATTTTTCAATTATACAGATTAATCAAGTTTAACATTAATGTAATTTACTTAACTATAAAGATACCAGATACTTCTTTAAATATACTTACTATAGTATGGCTGGATCTGTAAATTTGCCAGACAAGAATATCCTGAAGAGGAGGAAAGAACAAAGGACACCCCAATGCAACAATTGCAAATGGATAAATGAAATTAAAATATACGAAAAACAAATCTAACGAGAATTGTGTTTATATTTATGGATCGGGCGGGCATGGCGGATGGGGGTGTTTGCTTTGGGGATCTCTACCAAAGTGCTGTTTATTGTTGGAAGCTTGAGTGTGGCATCGGCTTCGCAGGCACGAACTCCCCGCCACAGTCGCAGTCGTAGTCTCAGTCGGTGCTCGAATCCAACTCCATTTCCCCATTCAGACTGAACAAAGAATTGGAGACGCTGCGTCTGGGGTGTCACGGAAGGAAGTGAAGTGAGGCAAGCATTTCAGCAGTCCAAAGCAGTTGCCAAGGGCCACTCCAGCACCCTGAACAAATCGCGAGAGGCATAAACAGAGACAGAGACCTAAACAGAGTCCCAATCAGAGACAGAGCCAGAGCCAGAGTCTGGCTGGAGTCGAATTACGGGGCACTGGTAATGGCCATGGCACTGGCACAGGCAATGCCAATTTATGCATGTTTGCTTAGCAATAATTGTCAGAGTTGTCTAGGGTTGGGTGACCACCAATTGCAGTCCCAATCCCCGCCGGAGACTCAGACTGAGACTAAGACTGAGACGGGAGCGGTACACAAGTTTGTCTGTAATTTGAACATGCCACAAGCGGCGGCTTGTTGATTTCTTGGAAAGAGCCACATCGCACACACTCAAAGAGCTCGTAAATTCAACGATCCGATCGAAGGCGATTTAGAAGGAAAACACAATCTGGCCACTGGCCACTGGCCACTGACCATTTCTCATTGCTCATTGCTCATTGAGGAAAGCCACAGGCAGTGGCAGTGGCAGTCGTAGAGGCAGTGGCAGAGGCAGAGGCAGAGCCACGCAACAGGCACGTGCAGGGAATAAACAACAAGTCGAACATCAGGTTGATTCCTCTTTCCATTCCCATTCCCAATCCCATTCGAATTCCCATTCCAATTGCAACCTGATTGATGCCCGTCGATGCTCGTTGTTCAGCAGAAACGATCTCGATCTGGTCTTGGGCTCTGGCTGTGGCTGTGGTTCTGCGACTGGACTCTGATGATATCTGCCTGATGTAATGCCTTTGAATGCTTCCGCGTGTCGCTCGCCTGGAGACGCCGGCCGACGCGTGCTCTGTCCTTATCAGGCGCTAACCTGTCCATATCGGTGCAAATGCCATATCCATTCCACTGGGGGATCTGTGCAGCCAGCGACTGGTGTGGCGCCACGGCGTGAGCCAAATTTGGCCTTTGGTGAAATGTTTGTCGGACAAGTGGCGTTTACTGCATTCCCCATGGGGCGGCATTAGACCAGAGATGGGCAGACAAGAGACGGGGCACTCAGGCTCCTCTCATCCGCTCATATTTCATAGACATTTCCCCCTTAACCACTTAAAATCCCCAATTTATCAATCCGTGGAAGGGCATCCAGCAACGCTGCAGGACAACTCATAAAGATGTCCAGCTGTCCAGATAAGCCGCCGGCAAGGACAAGCCGCGACCATCGATGTCCTCAGCCATGCATCATCTGCCAGCCGCCGACGGATGGAAGAGGATGGGATGGGATCGCTCCTAAGTGTGCATAAGCGAGTGGAATCGAATGAATCATCCGGAGTGCGCGTGGGAGCAGCCATTGTCATCGTCTTGGCCATTAGCGCATACAGACATATGTCAGCGGCTTCCACTTCCACTGGCACCCACGTCAGCCGCTCCAAGGGCTGCACTTTCCCAATGCCGACTCAAGGATGTGAACAAGGGTGGAATTCCGAGAGTCAGCAAGTCAGAGTCCTGCCCACGCATGGGTCCCAAATGGGGATGTTGACAGAACTGGACAAATGTGGCATTATTTATGCTATTGATCCGCCGGAACCACGACTGGGTGAGATAGATAGATAGAAAGATACCCGCAATGGGGTGACGAAGAGGAGTGCTTGGAATCGAAATAAGTCGCAGCATACTCCTCGGCGCTGGCCTTAAAGCGGAAGCAGCGGGGTGGCAATTCCCCGCAGCAAGCAGCAACGGATGGAGGGTATGCAGAAAGTATAATGAAATTATACATCCATACGCTCACTTTAGTCAAGAGAAAGGGTGGCTTTCTCGAACCTTGAAACTAAATGATACTTTGCTCTTGTAATAAAAACATCCATGAAGTACATATCTTTAACATTCCATCCCTTCAATCACTAGTTTTCCGTTTTCCGTATCTTTAGTCCCATTTCAAAGTTCATATTTTCTGCATAATTTGTGAGATTTTCCTCAAGCTGCGTTTATTTGCCGACACCGCAGATTAAGTTGTCTTGACCATAGTTAATTAACTGTGTAAATTGGTTATTAATTGCCGACACCTCCCCCATAAAATCCTCCTCCACACAGCTGTCAATCAGTGTCAGTCATTAGGTTTACAAATATCTGCGGAGATTTGTTTGGCTTAAACGAACACGAGATGACTGAATGAATTGTTGAATTAATGAATAGATTCTCTCGTTCTCCATCTCCATCTCCATCTCTGTGATTCTTATGGGCTTTGACTAATTTAATTGGCAATCAAGTATTCAGCGTTCGCTCTAATGGCAATGGCGTGTGTCGACACAGCCCCAGCCCCAGCCCCAACCCCACTGAAGCACAATTAATTACCAAGATATTGGCCATTTGAATAGTAATTCTTTCTGTTCGTAGCACTTTCCATAGAACTCTCTCTCTCATTCACACAGAGAATCACTTGTTTTCGCACCTCGACAGACAGAGAGGCGTCGGCATTCGTTGGTTTTTGTTGGTCAGCGAAAACTGGTTGGCATCCAAGCCAAACGTATTCAGATACATTTGGCGAGTCAATATGGTTTATTAATTATTTTAAATTAACTTTACTTGTTCCCCGATTCGATTATTGTGTACCTGTCCCACATAATTCATTTCATTTGCGCTAAACGAAGATCCCATCGCAATCAGATGCAATTATGCAAAACTCGTCTGCTGCTGCTGCTGCTTCTGCTGCTGTCCAATGACGGAAGTTGTTCGAGTGCAATCTGTATGGGGTATTAATTGCACTCATCTATACGTAATTCCAATCACAACCGCAACTCGAATCCAGTGAATGGCGCCGTGATCGGCGATCAATGTTGCGGGTGATCCGTGATTTCGCACGTGGATTGGCGAAAGCCTCCCCCCCCATCAATCTTCATCGCTCGCTAATAACAGTAATTAGTGCTGAAAGAACCCAAAGATATTGAAAAGGGAATACTAATTAGTCAAGCTATTTGGGGGAAGGTCGAACCATGGGATACCCTCTCAGCAAACTACTTCTGTTCTAGGTGGAAAGGTGCATAAAGTCGAAACTGCCTCCCACAGTACCAATACACATGCTACAACGTATCAAAGATCCATCAATTAGCAGCACCATAAGGTGTCTGTCTGTCTGCCTTTCTTCTCGAATTTCTCCGCCATAAATCCACGAGGAGAAGCTTAAATCACGCGACACTCTTAAGTGCCGCCTTATCGGGCATAATCGTTGTCGCAATTTGCATATTAAAGCCACTAAATTTAGTCTAATAGGTTCTAAGTTTGGACTGGAATTGAGACTAAGAACGACGCGTCGTCGCTGGTACTGGACGGATATGTGTGTCAATAAAAATCAGGTAATTAATTGCACGCCTCCTGAAATGGATGGCAGCCGTTTCCCAGGCAACAAAAAAAAATGCCCGTGTATGTGTTTGAGTTTATGTGTATGTGTGTACTCGTATATAGATCTTTTAACGATCGCATTAACTTCAAACGCGCACATTTTATGGTCTGTTCTGTCAACCGATCGTTGGCCAGATCGATCGATCGATGGCTGGATTCCAGCTCGTGGCAGCCACGAACTTTGGGGCACTCTCTTCTCCCAACAGAAATGTTGGCTAAAAAGCGGCTTGGAGTTAAATTGAATATGGAATAGAATAGAACAGAACCAGAAGAAAACAAAACAAAACAGACCGGGAAGATTCATTCCTCGTCGGGTCTGCTCGCCCTCAAATTAATATTTATATTTATTATCATTATTTTGTATAAACTTGTTCTTGGCCGTTTTGTTCTAAACGTGTTAGAAAGGCTTTGCTTTGGCTTTGGCTTGGTCTTGCTATGGCTGCGGCTGTGGCTCTGGCTTGGACTGTGCGAAATGGCATTAGAATCGAGAGAAATATATACAAAAGCTAGTCAGCAGGCGGCACACTCTCTAGCTCCACCTCTTCCCGAGTGCCAGTTCCAGTCCCGGTCTCTGATCTCTGCTCTTTTCTGATCATTCGGACGGAAACATTCAATAAAGACGGACACGCGCATTGTCCCGCCGCCCATTTGAAAGATTTAGAAACGGAGATTCCCCATTTTTCCCAGAATGTCTGACTGTGCACCTTCGTTAGCCTGCCTGTTACTGTTGCTGATGCTGCTGCAAGTGGTCCTGGCCAAGGAGTACAGCTGGTGTGATCCGACGCTATGCGAGAAGGGTGTACGGCATGTGGCCTGCCGGAATACAGGGGTAACTACACCGGAACAAAAAAAAGATTCAACAGCATCTGATGGTTACACTGTCGCTCTCCTAGCACTTTGGCAGACGCTGCCAGCCGGACGCCTTCCAGGTGGACATCAGTCGCCACAAATCGGACTTCCTGCACGCGCACAACAAGAGGCGGAACTTCCTGGCGCTGGGACGAGTGCCGGGCTATTACCCAGCCGCTCGCATGGCCACCATGGTAGGAGCTTCAGATCCCTAACATTTGCAGCAGTGTCTCAGTAGATTCGTATTCGTAGGTATGGGACGATGAGCTGCAGTACCTGTCGCAGCTGAATACCCGGACCTGTGTGCTGGACCACGACGACTGCCACAGCACGTACCGCTATGCCAACTCCGGCCAGAACCTGTGCGCGGTGTGGCGCAACCGGAATCCACATGTGAATGTGACCAGCCTGGTTGAGGAGTGCGTCGGACTGTGGTTCAACGAGTGGGATCTGATCGACAGCAGCTTCATCGACGCCTTCAAAGTGACGCCGATATTGTGAGTACCTGAGGCCGATGCCGATTCCAATTCCTCGCTTAGGAACTCATGGATTATGCGTGTCCCCCCTTAGCGAGGACTATGGACACTTTGTGGAGATGAGTGTGGACAAGAACTTCTCCATAGGCTGCTCCATCATGCGCTTCACGCGGCCCGACTACCCATCCGTGTACATCTACAATGTGGTCTGCAACTACGCCTCGCTCTACGCCCTGGGGGCGATCGTCTACGAGACGGGCTATCCGGCATCGCGCTGCACCACGGGGAAGAGCCACTTCTATCCGGGCCTCTGCTCCACCCGCGAGGAGTACGATCCCAATTGGTGATCCGTGCATGATCTTCAGTTTTCCTTTAGTTTTACTCAGGTCCAACTGCCAAGTATTGAGAAACCCGTAGCTTTACACACAAATAAATGATCGCATCGACGTGACGTTCTGTTCGATTCCAGCCACTTTGCATAATTTATTTCAACACAAAGTCATCGGCATCCCATTCCATCCCATCCATGGCTGACTTCTGACTTCTGACCGCCTGACTCCGCCGCTCCCACTGTCATTGCATAACCACAGTATAAATTATTATTATCGTATAAGACTACGCTGTAAGACTACGCTTTAGTCTAACAAAACGCCTCTACAAAGAAAGCGGCCCGCTCGTCTCGTCCCGCTCTCCGACTCCGTCTCCATTTCGAGACTGGTTTGGCACACAAAACTTTCGTTTGTTATTAACCAACAGAGATCGTAAAGAGATCTTCAAAGATCTACCTCGAGTATGCAAATCTCGGCTTCAAGTTGATTTGTGTGCAGAACTTATTGATTTGTTCTTTTTCTTTGTGATTGGAAACCTGTCCCGTCTGGCAGTCGCTAAATGCCCGGCACGGCACATGTGTGCTGCAACCAGAAAGCAAACAAAGATATTATTAGCTTTTTTTTCGAAACTCACCCATTGGGTCAATGTCAGTGGCGAAGCCCCAGAAGCCTAGAATCACAGAGAGCCAGAGTCACTGAACTGCTGGAGACGCCCACGCCGAGTCGATCGGCGATGAGTGGAATGGAGTGGAGTCTGAATGAATGGAGTCTTCCCAGAAGCATGAGATTTGGTTGGATAACAAGGTTTTAACGGGGGATGATAGAGTATTAAGAGAATCACTGAAATCACTGAAACACACTCCCAAACAATAGATAAACCTTTTCAACTCTCTTATTTCTTTGAGCATCTTGAACTTCGCTCAACTCTGGATTTATGGCCTAGTTTGATGGGTTCTTTCAGGCCTAGATTTGGCTGAGGCTTAACTTACAGTGGAACCTCTCATGAGTCTACTATATAGGACTTGTGGCTCTACTGCCGACCCGTCTATTAAGGGATACTTGTAACCGAAAGGATCCTATCTAGGTAATCGGACCTGTCTGGACAGTAACCAAATAGGAACTAATCTATTCCAACCCTCTTCGCTTTTCGGCAGGCCTGAACTCCACTCAACTTTTGGGCTTTGCTTTATGGGCGAGTTTTCCTAGAAGTCGTGCGCCGAGTCCGCGACTTTCGGTGTGAACGCTCTTCAGAGGTGGAGACCGAGACAGAGACGGCGACAGAGACAAAGACAAACATCGAGACGCCGGCCAGAAAATGGAAATGATTCATAAAACGTCGCTTGACCTGTCTCAAGCAACGCGGGACGGTGGCTGGTCAGTGCAGCTGCGGTTTTCGGAACCGCGGAATCGGCATCGGATTCGGTCCCCCACTCCGAGCCGCACTCCGAACCGCGTTGGAAAACAAACAGCAAACGCTGCCAAAAATAAACCCCAAAATTAAAGCGCGGCACCAAATTAAAATTTCTGAATAAATATCGCCTTGGAGGCGGTCAGGATCTGCACTTGCGATTGCATTGACATCCGGAGAACATGGAGCCTGGGAAATATCTGCTGATCAGCGTTCTGCTGATGCCTCTGATGCTGATGGCGGTGACCGTGTTCGGACAGCCGCTGTCCTGGTGCGATCCGCAGCTCTGTCCGGAGGGCAAGGTGCACATAGCCTGCAACAACAACGGAGTAAGTGGCACACGCTCTCTCCCTGCCACAGAGCTAACCGAGAATGCCGTTTGATAGGAGTTCCATGAGAGCTGCCCGGAAGATGCCACCATGGTCAACCTGAAGCCGCACCGGGCGTTCATCCTGAATGAGCACAACAAGCGGCGCAACTTCATTGCCTCGGGCTCGCTGCCGGGCTACTATCCGGCCACGCGGATGGCCACCATGGTGTGGGACGAGGAGCTGGAGTATCTGGCGACGCTCAACCTGAAGACCTGCTATCTGGAGCACGATGACTGCAACCACTCGTTCCGCTTCCGGAATCTGGGTCAGAACCTGTGCGGCGTGGATCGCTATCGCAGTGCCCCAATGAATGTGACCAATCTGGTGGAGCAGTCGCTGGGTCTGTGGTTCGGGGAGCACCATGTCATCGACAGCAGCTTCATCACCGACTTCCGGGTGACCAGCAAACTGTAAGTGGATCAGTCGCACCCACATCCCACATTTCCGGTTTCCTTTTTGGGACCTAACACTCTTCTTCTTTTGCTGGCAGGGAGAAGTACGGGCACTTTGTGGAGACGGTGGTGGACAGGAACACCCATGTCGGCTGCGCCATGATGCGCTTCACCAACCCCAAGTACCCCTTCCTCTACATCTACAACACGGCCTGCAACTACGCCAGCGTCTATGCCATCGGCGTCCCCGTCTACAATGCGGGTGTACCCGCCTCCGATTGCCTCACGGGCCACAATCCGCAGTACCCTGCCCTCTGCTCCGTGAAGGAGATATACAACCCAAACTACAATATATACTAGAACTGAACCCCAAACTCTTCTTCGCTTTTGTTTTCCCTGCTACTGCGACGATCATCTGTTTCTGATTGATACGTCAAGTTCTGTTTATTCCGTTCCGGCTGCTAAATTTGGCTGGGTGTTAATTTCCAGTTCCGATCAGACAGGCTGGCTGGCCGGCAGGGAGTAATTTATAAACCTTAACGGAAACAGTCCGAAGCGGTTCTCGCACAGTGGAGCAGTCTTTGGGGAAGTTCCATTGGATGTGCCATAAGTGGCATATGTACGATATATTAATTAAAGTCTAACCCAAAGAACGTCAATTAAGTCACAGTCGAGTTATCATACAAAATTGGATATACTATAATTTTCCAAGCCCGATTTTCGTTAAATTTCCTGTGCAAATATAATCAACTCAGTCCCAATGTACTTTCAGTTAAATTTCCCGCCGGCTTGAATGTGAGTGACCTATCCTGCTGCATTCATTACGGCATTGTGATGAAATATATTAGCAATCAACGCATCGCAAATTATTGTTTGATCACTCAGGATCACATTAAAAAGCTGTTAATTAATCAATGAGAACGCACCCAGCACCACCACCCCACCAGCCCACTGCACATCCATCCACAAACCGCGAAAACAATACACTCTGAAACCGAGTCGGGGCCCGAGCTGGCTGGAATTTTTTCAGTCAATTGTTGGCGATTTACGGGCGACAGCCTGGGCCTGGAACTGGAACTAGGCCTAGATGCAGCAGACTCCTATAACTCAGGCCTCCCTGTGTGGGATTTGCCTGTGGAGCTGACAAGGGATCACAGCAGCTGTCCCTGCTCCTCCGCGCCTCCTGTCGCTGCCCACTCGAAGCATGCCATCGCATGCCAGAGTACCCCTCTCTGGCAACCGAATCCAAATCTGACTCTGAATCTGTCTCTGACTTTTATCTTGTTTTATCTGCAGCCATGCATCATAAACGAGTTCGCTGCCTGCCGCCGTTCCTGTCCACACAAATCTCTTGAGTGCACTCCCACGGACACTCACATCTCTGTCGGCTGTTGGTTATGCAAATTCCGATTGCGAGGCTTTATCGCCGTCAGAATCGGAGATCTGGTGCCCAGCTGCCAAATAAAGATCTCTGTTGGGACAGCTCTCGCATTTATTGCACAACAGCAATGGACATGGGAACGGGAATGACCCTACCACCAGATGCCTAGGTCGCTGAACAGCTCCTCGGTGGTAGGGAGCTCAAAGTCCTCGTTGACCCACTCGGAGCGTGGCTGGCTGGATGTCTTCTTCTGGGCTTCAGCTCCAGCCCCAGTGACAGTGCCAGTGCCATACTCCTTGCGGTAGCCGACGTCCTCGCGCAGATCCTCCTCGTCGTATTCCTCATCGTCTTCGACGGCCTCCAGGGAGCTGCTCATGTTGGACTTGCGCTTGGACGGCGCCAGCGGCAGCGGCAGGCCTTGGTCCCCCAGCATGCGCTGCATGTTGCTTATCTCATCCACTTGCTTGGCCTGCTGTTGCTCCTCCACCACCTCTAAGGGCTGCTCTGTGACGTGCGAGACGACGCCACCGCCACCGCCGTCACCGGCTGCCGGCTGCGGAGACGAGGCCAGACGCACAATCCGGTCGAAGAGCGTGGCAAAGTGCCGTCTGAAGCGACCATAGTCGAAGCTGTCCTTCGTGCTGTCGGTGGCATCCAGCAGTCCATGGGTCGATGTAGATTTGGAGCGGGTCAGTGGCCCAAAGTGATGCAGCATGTCGATGCCGGGCGCCATCGATTCTTCCCAACTCTGCAATGAGAAATAAGTTTAGTAGGCAAGTTCGATTTTTCACAGTTTTCCACTGCATGTGTCCTCCACTCACCAGCTCCGTCCAGTCCTCGATGGGAACACTGAGAACCGAGCCGACAACGTTGACTACGCGCTCCTCCAGGTTCAGGGCCTGAATAATCCATTTGGCCAAAGCCACGGCGCAGTTTAGGTCACAGCGTTGCCTGCAATCGATAATAAAAAAATTAATTTGGAGCGCGTATGACGACAATCAGATACCCTGTACTCTGAGTACTATGCTTTCAGTATTCCCATAAAGAGAGGAAAAGGTTTGCCAAAGTGTTTTGCAGTTTTCTGATAATTTTGTCAGGATGTCGCTTGGCATGAATAAACTCCCGAGTTTCTTCCGAGTCGGAGGGTATCAAATAATGATTATTTTAATGGGAACGGGCTGGAATAGGTTGCAGTGGGAGAATACCCTAATAGCCTGGGTAATTATCGGACACTCAATGTGGCACGCACACCCCCAACAACCCACCTGCGCTCGTCCCGCCGTATCTCCACGAGCTTGTCGCCTTCGAGTATCAGTTGGTCGTAGTTCGTCTCGATTTGCATGGTGAGGGCCTCCTTGGGTTCCTGCTCCTGCTGCTCCTGAAGTTGCCGCTGGAGGGTCTTGAACTGCAGCCAGAGGTCTTCCAGTTGCTCCTGGAGGAATCGCAAGGGAGTGATAATGAGTGCATGGGCGAGTCTTCGCCACTCACCGTCTGCTTTCGGATGTTCTGCTGGGTCTCGTGGTGCACGTCGACGCGATGGAGGATGGGCTGGGCGGGCAGGAAGGGTGCGGCCATCAAGCGCTCCACGCAGCGATTGAGCACCCCGCGCTTGGGCTTCTTCTTGTCCATCTTGATGAGGCCAGCAGAGCTGTCCAGCTGCAGCGTCGTCTCAACAAGGCGCTCCAGGATCATGGCAAATGCCTCCACGTAGTCGGACTGGATGCGGATGCGGTTGGAGTTCTTGGCCGCCACCACAGTGATGAGCTCGGACTGCTTGTCCAGGCCGGGGCACAGCAGCTGGAGGCCCAGGGCGTGTGCATCTCCCTGGCCCTCGAGGAACTCGCCGAAGAAGGTGCCCAGCTTCGGGGCGACGTGTCTGCTGGTGATGCTGTACGTCAGCTTGATGCCCGCCGCCTTCTGGGGCTGACACACGCGATAGAACATGGCCAGCGGCAGGTGGGCGCTCTGCAGAATGACCCGGGGAATGCCCTGGGGATGATGTCTCGAGAGTATTAGGATGCAGATCTTGCACATGCCATTACACTCACCCTGGGACTCACAAAGGAGGCCACCACCTCCACTCTGGTGCTGTGGATATGCAGCAGTTCGGCGATATAAAAGTCCAGCTTCAGCTCCTGGCTGGTGCCAGCGACCACGTCCACAAAGCTCATGGTGTCCTGGCTGCAGCGAACGCCGCTGGGCGTCTGGAACACCAGCTGCAGCTCGGCCAGATCCGCCTTGATCTTGAACCGCAGCAAACCCTTGGCCGAGGGCAGCTCCTTGACGGCCACGTCGGCGGGCACGTCCAGCAAAAGGGTGTCCAGATCGTCAGAGACTTCCTTCTGGATGCTGAAGCTGAGTCGCACCTGATCCGCCGCCTGCTGGTTGAGGGCGTCCATGTCGCGTACATCCACCGCCTCCTTGATCTCGTCCTCTAGCTGCTGCAGCTCCTTGTGAGCCTGGGCGAAGCTCAGTTCCTCGATGTTCAGCGGCTGCACCTGGAACGTGAAGGGATCGGCACCCAGGTAGCCCACCTCCAGCTGTCCCCTGGCCCCGAGCGTCACTATGCCACCGGCCAGGCCCTGCATATTGGAGCGCTGTATGGCTACCGGCGCGGGCGACTGGTTTGGCCACTGGGCTGCCCAGATGATGTTTGCCTCCTCGTAGACATGCAGCTTTGAAGAGTCCGAAATGATGGCTGTGATGAGGCGCGCGCCTGGCTCTGATTGGCAATATTGAATCGGTAAAATTGGATAGGTTGCTCTCCGGATGAGGACCACGGCTTACCCCAATAATAGCCCACCACGAAACTGTGGAAACACTTGGGCGCGTAGTCCAGTTTCAGCATAAAGATGAACTTGCCGTTGTCGTCCAGGGAGATGAAGTTCCGCTCGCCCAGGATCATGATGTAGGAGCAGTTGCTGCAAGATGTGGGATGCAACAACGGATCGAAGCCATTCCCTTCGGTTTAGTACTCACTCCTTCACTTGGACCACCCGCATGTCGACAATGCCCTCGCCCACGCCCTGCGTCCAGGTGGGCTGGTAGCTGCCTAGCTTGGTGACCAGCGAGTGGGACAGGTCCTGGTAGCTATAGCACTGCAGGTGCCAGGTGGCGCTGAATCGAAAGAAGCTGTCGGTGCGCTCGCAATAGGCCACAGGAGCCGGCAGGGCACGGTGTCCGGGGAAGCGGCACTCGTAGGAGATGCCGTCCTGCTCGTAGAAGGTCAAGGTGCCGTCCAGGTGCACCACACAGAAGAACTCGCGGCCCTTCACCTGCCCAAAGTGGCCTTGGCACAGGCCGAAGGCCACCCGCTGGAACTTGTGCTCCGCCTGCAGCTGCAGCCGCAGCTGGGCTCCGTGCTCCGCCAGTCCCCCGATGGCCTGAACGTTGTAGATGGCAATGGCGTTGGGCAGGAGAACGCCCAGCTGGTTGGTGTTCTCATTGCGCACATTGCTGGAGGGGATGGGCATATTATACCATATTCCACTAGCAGTCAGAGGGGAACTCACCCGCTAAACTTTCCCGCATACAAGCCGAGGATTGGGGCCGCCATCTGCGTCTCCAGCAGCAGGTCGGTGGCATCATAGCCCCGCCTGTGCGGGTAGTAGATGCTCAGCTGCCCCGTCTGGGAGCCCACTATGATGTAGTCCTTCTCCTGAGCCTCCAGGCCAAAGCGGGCGCACAGCAGGCTGGCCACATCGTACTGCTCTCCGGGATCGGCGCACTGGGCAGACCACCAGCTGCAGACATTGAACAGCGACATGATTGCCGTGGATATACTTCCTCGACTGAGTCGTCCAAGTGGAGAACTCACTGCCATTGTTGTGGCAGGATTGGACATGTTGCCATGGGCACCATTCCAACAGCTGGCTGTCATGGCAGTAGTTGCAGCAGGACACACGAAGCGAAGGCAGGAGCACGAACACCTGTTGTCAGTACGACGTACACGCCCCCGAAATGGACATTCTACATGAGTTTTACATGCTCCTCGACTCGAGGTTCTAGCATAGGCTAAGTCGATTAAGCCGATTTCAAAACCATACCAATCCAGTGGCGCCTTCAACCCTACGGATGTAAAACGTAAAACAAATCCAAACTAATCGAAACCGGTACAGAGAATAGAAGAATATATTCCTCCCTCTAGGGCCTCCCGCAGAAGCCCCTAGCTATATGCAGATCTTCCCTATTTAATAAGTGTAGGGCACTACATGGTCGACAAACACGCCTCGGACCTTCATATGTTGTAGTTATATTTTGGGGGTCAGACACTACACCTTCCACCTTCAGTGGAGGGCAAGCCTGTGGTAAAGATAGGAGCTCCAACTGAAAATCGTATCAGTCTCAGACAGAGACTCTTGCACACATCATACATATGTACGTGCATATGTATGTATGTATATATGTACGTATGAACGTCCTACGTCTACCCGCCAGTCCGTTGGAGAGTGTTCACGTGCTGGCGGAGAACGCGTCGGCCGATGGAGATAGCATCGTCGCTGTCGCCGTCGTCGTCTCTCAACGTAGCTACGGGGCTCGCGAGAGCTTTTCGATGTCTCCGCCGTAGTCGTGGTCGGGCATCTGTGTAGAGGTATTTCCGTGTGGGTGGTGCGCTGCACGCAACAGCTGCGTGTAATCGTGTCCATGTCCGTATCTGTGCCGCCGGACAAGCTCTGCGCGGAGAGTCGGATATATGCTACTCGCACTTTGTATCATTTACAATCAGCGTGATAACGGGTTTTGCCTTCGTGAGCACTGCCGAATTTTTAATTTGGGAATGTGATTGGGAGCCAAGGTCATTTGTAGGTCTGTCCGTTTCTTGTGGGTCTCGTGGGGTATAAATAGCCGTGGACTCTTCTTGCTCAATTGCGCAAGTGATACTGACCTTACCCATTGCCCATGTCGCCCCATGACGTATCTGTATCTACTCGAGCCCACAAGTGCCCGTCTGCTTTCTGTCTGCTGCGCGGCAACCGTCTCGCCTGTGACGTCGCCCGATCAAGAGCTGGACAAGCGGCGCACAAGATGGTTCTGCCGGAGTGATTCATTCATGAATTAAAATGCCATTCCCCCATTCCCCACTGGATCTACGCCATGCGCGGAGCAATTGTGAAATTATGGTTATCAGCAGGGGCACGGGCCCTGTTTAGGAAACTGCCGCAATGGAAACCAACGGAAGAGTCACCGGCTCGACCTCCGTTCCACCCATGTTGGAGAGTGCCGCTCTGTGGCAGCGGCAGCGCAATCAGCACTCGGCCGAACGCTCCTAATTGAATAGAGCGCGAAACAATCAGCCATAAAAAATATCATTCGCGCTCAGTTACAAAGCACACACCCAAGACACTCGACGTGGGCTCATCGCAAAGGTGGGCATCGTATCCGAGCAGAGTGGCGGAATCGGAATTTCGCGGCACGAGAGTATCTTGTATCTGGTATCTGGGTGCGAGATTCACGAACGACTTGCTGGCCAATTAGCTGGCTAGACACTCAAAAGTCACAGGGGCGCGGCGTGGCAGAATTACAACAGCTGTTGGTTGACCGAGTACTGCGAACCGAGCACCGAGCACGATTTCCGAGCGGCAAGGCAAGCACACTGTAGCATTGCATATTGCACTGAAAGCTGCCGAGCCAAAAAGCTGCACCTGCACTTGCACAGTGCACTCTGCCAGCAAACGAGACGGACCGGACAGAGCAGACGGAGGAGCTACTTAGTGGCGCAGCAGGAAAGGGTTTCGCTTCCAGTACCAGTATCAGCATCAGCATTAGCCACAGCATCGGCAGTGGAATAGCAGCAATAGCAATAGCCAGAAGGCAAACGGTAAGCAGCTTAATACCCGATTCGCCCTGGCTGAGTGCGGACGCGCGGACTGCCGTCGACGCGAAAAGTGACTCAAACTCTGATGTAATCATTTTCTGTTACGCCCGCTAAATACATATGTTCTGAACAGACTCGGCAGTCTCTCCGCTGTGGTCCGACGTGTTCGGTGTGGAATTTATTCAGGTTTCACCGTCTACTCTCGAAACACTTTCCGCCTGGAACTCAAGGTAAAATCCGCCCCCGATTCGGAGAAGCGCTTCGTCTGGAGCCCGTCTGTTCAGTGTCTATCCGTGGCCGGGTTCCGTGGGTGCGAGTCCAGTGTTTTAGCCCTACAGCTGGGTCTGGGTCTAGCCCCCATAAATGGTGCAGCATTGATTTGAAATACTCAAAATTCGTGTACTATTCGCAATGGAACTTCCAGAGAAACAGAGATAGAGAGAGAGCGACCCGAGTGAAAAGTTTGCACTAAAGCTCTGGCCAAAGCTGTTGCTTGTTCAGAGTGGAAGAGCGTATCTATGCTTGGAGAGAGAGCTTTCTTGCCCTCTTTCCGCTGGCCGTTTGAGTGAGGTGCAGCCAAGAGCGGGAAAGAGAGAAACATATGTGAAATACTCGCACGAGATACTCAAACAAATACATTTGTGACTAATCTTTTAAGTAATATCGAATGCTCTCTTTTGGCAGCACAAGCAACTATCAAAAGGAACTCCTTGAGCGATGTCTTCGCGGATGTTCAAGTTCGGCGTGACTGCCACCAGTGCAGCCGTGGGCTCAGTGCTAGCCGCCTGGAGCCTTGACCACTGGAACACCCCCCGCGTGGTGAACAATGCTGCGGTGGCACCGCCAAAGAGGAAGCGCACACTGCCCATGCGGTCGGAGCAGATCAGCTCCCTGATGAGCGGCGAGGAGTTCGATGTGCTGATCATCGGTGGCGGAGCCACTGGCGCCGGGTGTGCCCTCGACTCGGTGACACGAGGTGAGCCCAGGCGCAAGTCCAATAATATGTACATCTAAAACGACTGACAATCTCCTCTGCACAGGTCTGAAGACGGCTTTGGTGGAACTGGACGATTTCGCCAGTGGCACCTCGTCGCGCTCCACCAAGCTCATCCACGGTGGAGTGCGGTACCTGCAGAAGGCAATTCTGGGCGTAAGTTCATCGCTCAGCCGGATCATCCGCACCGTAGAGAGCTAATCGTTGTCCCCCCTCCATTTCCGCTTCCACAGCTAGACCTTGAGCAGTACCGGATGGTGAAGGAGGCTCTCCAGGAGCGCGCCACCATGCTCGAATCGGCACCCCACTTGACCCATCCGCTGCCCATCATGCTGCCTGTTTACACGTAAATGCAGCCCACGCATTCCTTCCAGCATCCCCATCCACTAATCCCAACCCACTGATCTCTCCCGCAGGTGGTGGCAGGTTCCGTACTACTGGGTGGGCATCAAGGCCTACGATTTGGTGGCTGGTGACCGCAACGTGAAGAGCTCCTACTACCTGTCCAAGAAGGACGCACTGGAGCTGTTCCCTATGCTCAAGAAGGACAAACTGTGCGGCGCCATCGTGTACTACGACGGACAGCAGGATGACGCCCGTATGTGCCTGGCCGTGGCCCTGACGGCCGCCCGGCACGGCGCCACCGTCTGCAACCACGTGGAGGTGAAGGAGCTGCTGAAGAAGGACGACGGCACCGGCAAGCAGGTGCTGTGCGGTGCCAAGGTCAAGGACCACATCTCCGGCAAGGAGTTCACCGTGAAGGCCAAGTGCATTGTGAACGCTTGCGGCCCCTTCACGGACTCCATCCGCAAGATGGACAATCCCACGGTGAAGAGCATCTGCTGCCCCAGCTCCGGCGTGCACATCGTGCTCCCCGGCTACTACAGCCCCGACCAGATGGGCCTGCTCGATCCCTCGACCTCCGACGGACGCGTTATCTTCTTCCTGCCCTGGCAGCGACAGACGATCGCCGGCACCACCGACCTGCCCTGCGATATCACCCACAACCCCATCCCCACCGAGGACGAGATCCAGTTCATTCTGAAAGAGATCAAGAACTACCTGAATGCGGACGTAGAGGTGCGACGCGGCGACGTCCTGTCTGCTTGGAGCGGCATCCGGCCGCTGGTCTCCGACCCCAACAAGGACGACACCCAGTCCCTCGCCCGTAACCACATCGTCCACGTCAGCCCCTCCAATCTCATCACCATTGCCGGCGGCAAGTGGACAACATATCGCGCTATGGCCGAGCACACCATCGATGCGGCCATCAAGGGTAGGTGTCCCTTCTGTTCCCATGATTTCCGATTGCTGATCATATCTCTTTCCATCCATTCCACAGCCTGCAATCTGAAGCCGGAGCGGGAGGAGGCCGTTACCTCCTTCCTGAAGATTGAGGGCGGCCAGGGCTGGACACCGACCATGTACATCCGCCTAGTGCAGGACTTTGGTTTGGAGTGCGAGGTGGCCCAGCACTTGGCCAAGTCGTACGGCGACCGCGCCTTTGCCGTCTCCAAGATGGCCTCGCTGACGGGCAAGCGCTGGCCCATCATCGGCAACCGCATCCACCCCGAGTTCCCCTACATCGACGCCGAGATCCGCTACGGCGTGCGCGAATACGCCTGCTCGGCCATCGACATGATAGCACGCCGGCTACGACTGGCCTTCCTCAACGTGCAGGCGGCGCAGGAGGCGCTTCCCGTGATCGTGGACATAATGGGCGAGGAGCTGCAGTGGTCCAAGGAAGAGAAGGAGCGCCAGATCAAGCAGGCCACCGAGTTCTTGGCCAACGAGATGGGACACTCTGTGAACCGCACCTCCAAGGAGCGCATACCGATTAAGCTGTCCAAGGAGGAGATCCAGACCTACATCAAGCGCTTCCAGCTGATCGACAAGGACAAGAAGGGCTATGTCTCCATCAACGACATCCGCCGCGGCCTCAAGACCTTCGGCGAGGGCGACGTCTCCGGCGAGCAGCTGCACGAGATCCTCCGCGAGATCGATACCAACATGAATGGCCAGGTGGAGCTCGACGAGTATCTACAGGTGCGACTCTAACTCTCCCTCTCTCAATTATTATTGGTGTCTGTATGTGATGGCTTATTCTAATGTTGAAACTCTATTTAAATGCTGTAGATGATGTCCGCGATCAAGACGGGCGACGTGGCCTACTCCCGGTTTGCCCGCATGGCCGAGCTGGAGGAGCAGAAGCAGGAGGCTGCCAGTATCAAGCAGAAGAAGATTAGCGTGGACCGCTCTGGCGGCGGCTTGTAAGCGCGCGACTTAAGAACGACAACGACGACATCCCCAGTCCACTCCCTCACCACCTTCTAGAGCAACGTTTTAGGTTTAAGATCGGAGATCGAACTTCTTTTTATTTTGCCGTTAATAAAACTCTTTCAACTCTCACGTTCCTCCGTTTCCTGCCCTAGTTTATCAAGCAGGACGATGACGATTTGACGTCCGGCTTCAGATTCTTATTGGATCCGTTTGCCTCCGGCTTGGTGGTACCTTTGCTTGCCTTCTTTTTGGCACTCACCTGGGGATCGGGCGTTACAATTTCCTTCTCACTTGTTGAATTTAACACAGGATTCTCCTTTGGCTTAGGTTTGCTTTGGCATTGCTTTTCCACAGTTTTATTCTCGTTGAGGTTCGGGTTCGGTTTCGGTACCTCCTGCGGCTGGGGAGCAACTTTCGATTTTGGTTTTTGTTTGACGTCAGAGCCAGGCAGCGAAGAAAGGTTTGTCTTCTTTTTGGCACCCAACTGAAGATTGGCCGTTGCGATTTCCAGTTGAGTTGCAAAATCCGACAGAAAATTAGCCTTTGGCTTGGGCTTGCATTCAGTCTGAGTTTCCACAGTTTTCTTCTCGCACATCTGGGAAATTTGACTGGGTTTCGGCTTTGCTCCCTTTTTCTCTATGCCTCGTTCCTCGCGGTTACCTTTAGGAAGAGAGAGAGAGAGAGAGATACGGAGGTTACTAAAGATTCGACCCCATCCTCAGGGTCTTCGTTTGCGCACTGAAGGAGCTGTGCATAATGTCCTTGATGTCATCCGTGAGGTTACCGGCGCCCCTGCGGAAACGATACTCGGCCTTCGCCACACAGTTGAACATTTCCGCGCGTTGGATGGAGCTCAGGTCTGCGATCATGTCCAGTTTGGGGTCCCAGAAGAACGGGAGCTGGCCATTGCCCGAAGTCACCTTCAGGGCGTTGGCCAGCTTGCCTATCATCTGAAATCAGGATTCGGGAGAGAGAGTGATTCAGTGGGAGACAGGGGATAGTGAAATATACATATACATACCTCAATAAAGATCTCGTTGAGGGGACTCTGCCAGTATCTTCGATCTCGCTTGGTTACCTCCCAGAGGAAGACTGTCTTTATGTAGTAGCTCTTCAGATTGCCCAGGTTCTGCTTGGTGTCGCGAAACTTCTTCAGGAGCCGCACGGCACTCTTCAGGTTGCCCTTGTCTTTGATCAGTTCGTGTTCGGCTACGTAGTAGGAAGCCCGGAAGGAGATGTTGTCGGGCTGGGCCGGCTTCAGTGGCTTTGGAATCGCATCCCAGTGCGTAGAGCGGCCAAAGTGCTGCTTCTGCTCACCAGTAAGGACGCTCTGTGCGGCTGTCAGCTTGATGCCCGGCACAAAGTCCACGGAGAACTGGCAGGGCCCGTCCACGAAAATGGTGTGTGCTGGCCCGCACCTCTTGTACTTCAGCGTCGAGATCGATTTTTTCACCTCGATCTGGTTACCTATTTTTTTTAACGTCTGGGTCATCAGGCTCGTCAACCAGTTCTGAAGCTTGTCCTCCAGTAGCATGTTTTTTCCATTGACCAGCTTCTGAAGTTGCTCGTAGATGGGCTTGAGAGGTTCCTTATCTCGGATGGCCTCCATTACCTTCGTCATGTCCAGAGTCACGTTCCCTACGGTGGTTGGAACAAATCAGTTTATCGTTTGAGGTCGATGTCGTTTGAGCCACACCTGGGCGACGGGGATCCGGCTTCACAATGATCCTGTCATTCTCGGGGAACACCAAATGAATCACCAAGTCAAACTCGTTCGGCATCGATACCTTGAGGTTGTCGCCATAGCTTCCTGGGAGGGGGAAAGTGCACAAAAACGATTGAGTAACTGTGCAAACGCCATAATTCTGACCCTATCTAATCAGAATCGAACTTTTCCTGGAAATTCGTAGCCTTTTCTGTTTCATTCTACAAAGACCACAAAGAAACCCTCACACATTTGTATGTATGTTCTTATCGCAGATCCCAAATTGATTATCAATAGAATCGGACACTCGGAAGTTTATAATTCCCACATGCACGCATACATTAACATGTTATGTAGCCCGCTTGTGTGCATACAACCGCTACGTTTACTTTTTTGCTGCTTGCTTTTTGCAGCACCGCAGCAGAATGACACTTTCCCATGCAGAGTGCATAGAACGCTGCCGACAGCCACTGGTCTACAGTATCGAAAGATCGTAGTAGAAAGTAGTTACCTTCCAAGGTGGATCCTTTGACCAGCTTGCCCAGTATCTTCTCATCGCGCTTCCACAGGGAGTAGAGCTGGTCCCTCAGCTCGTTGTAGGGCTCGCTGTAACGCTGCCGGTGTTGGTCAAATTTGATTAATTCGCGGTTGAACTTGTTTAAAGTATCTTCCAGATTCGTGGCCATGACGACTTCGACTGCGACTCGACGACGAGCTCTCTCTGAAGCCTTCTGAATTTGAAGTAAAAATACTATTCTGTTGTTTCCTCATCCGCGGCGTCCAAAAGACAGATTTAGCAACTAAGCTTTGGGCTTCGAGAACTTTTCTCTTTTGAGTAAAAAGCTGATCGTGCTCGTGTTCTCTCTCAAAAGTGCTAAAAGAAAGAAGAAGAAAGAGTCTCTCTTTGAAATCAGTTGGCTGGAGAGCAGTAGGAAAATAAACATTGCGGCCCGCTTAATGGAAAACAAGCACTTCCGTTGAAGTGCCCGATGAAATCCAAGGGCTGCTTGGATTGAAAGTGCTGATTCGCTGAAAGCCAGGAAAAGTAAAACACAGAACGATCCGAGGAGGCTGGTTAAAATGCAATTTCAAGAATATTTATTGATCGTTATGTTTAGTTTACGTGGTATTTATATTGGATTTCATTTAGCGCTTTGCATTTGCAGAATCAAGAGAGAACAATCATAATTCATTGATCCATAAACTGTATGTATCGTATCGTATTTGGTTTTCCTCTTTATTTTTCATCGCATCTTGCATGCATTGGTAGGTATGTATATGTATCTGGTATCTGTTTCTGTTTCTGTATCTGTACTACTAGGGAGTTGCAAAATATGTTACAATAACAATCAAAAGTACGATCGATAGTTGGTACGTTATGTAGGTTGTAATTGAGTCAAAGATAAATATAGTTTAACAAAGGCGTAGGCCAAGAAAGCATAAAGTTCTTTGTTTTAACTAATGTAAGTATTGCAAGAGGGAGGAATGGTCTTGGGATCGCAATCGATCCCTTTATCGGGTTACTCAGATCTAATTGAAACCACTTGCAGCACTTGCAGCATTATTGGATTCCAAGCGGACTCCGAGCTCTGGTTCCATTCTGTGTGTGTTTTGGCAATTGAAAATTCCCCATAACTATAGAAGCGTCTGCGTCTGCCCATGTTCTCAATGTTGCAGTTGCATCTGACTCACAGTTAGCTGTAGCTGTAGATGCAGCTGCAGCTGTTTTTATCGTTTGTGTGTTTTTTTTTTTATTTATGTATATGGTACGAGTACATATGTATATGCTATGTAAAAAAGAGTAAAAAGACGCACAGAACCTTGCACAGAGTGGCGCCAAAACTTAGTGATTAGCTAGCTTACTGTTAGGTATATGTATATATCTGCACGTTATGTGGGGACTGGATGCCCCGTACCGTGTTGGTAATATGCTTGCTTTTAGTAGAAAAACTGGAAGAGAAAAACTGTGGCCGTCACACGATCATGATGCATTATCTGTGCGTGTTTGTTCGTTTTTAATTGATATTTACTCAAACAAATAGTGAGCTCTGCAATCGATTGCTTGGCGATAACCGATGAGCGAACAATAAACTTGAAACTGTGTAGAATGCGTGAGTTTCTGTCCAGCTATCTATATAGTACATACATATATGAAGATGCTAGACATGCTTAACATTGAGAAACGTTTCGTGTTTTGTTGTTATTAAGAGTTTAGGTTTAACTTTGAGACTTTTGCACAGCTTTAATGTATTATACATTCCCATTTATGTTATAAATATTTAGGTGTACGCGGTATCCCCCATACAAATCGAGTTAAAACCTCTTTATACAAATCCAAACAAGTGTAAACGAGTGAATCCAAAATAAATGCGAGTTTCGTTAACTAATCTTGAGTGTAAAGGAGGCGGGGCGTCTAGCGACAAACAATCGAAGGAAGAAGACTACATTAATCCAGAGTAGGGGGTAGGTATCCTAGGAAGGGGCGGGGGGTCTGCAGGGAGTGGGACTGCTGCTACCGTAGAGCGTATAATGAATCAGTCTTTGCGCGTCACAAGTCGTCAATCGAACGGGGAAACGATACGATAAATATATCGAAATCAAGTCTAAGCGGGACCGGTTTGGTTTGGAATGGGGGTCACAGTACTGCAGGATGGTGGGGGGGGAAGCTAATGCGGACTCTGCTGCGGATCCTCGGGCATACAAACCGTACAAAAACTAGCTAGATACAAACATACATATTATCAATATAGTCTCCGGTTTTGCTCCGTTTCGCTTCATTTCGTTTCGTTACGTTACGTTTTCTTGTATACAAAGTCAATACATGTGTATATATATACGAATTACAATTATAATTGTTGTACGAGTACGTAATTAGTGTACAATAAATACGGTAAAACAAGTTAACAAGCATTAATTTAATTATTCCTTTCGAGTAAGCTTTAGCTTCGAGTCAACGATTTGGGTTTTTAGATGTAGAGTTCGAGTTAGAGATAGGGTTAAGGTTAAGGTTAACGTTAAGGTTGCTTTTAGCTTAGCCAAAAATTGAATTACAGAATCAAGAGCGTAGCGTGGTATATCCATATCATATACATATATATTTATAGATATAGATATTCATGAATGTATGCCATAAATGGTTTAATAAATGTCATAGTAGTTTTACTCGTAATTGGTGCGTTTCCCTTCGATTAGGTTTTGGTTTTAGGTTTTAGGTTACAAAAAGTATTTCGAGAGAGTAACGAATAAAAATCGCATTTCTTGGGCTGCCCTTAGCTAGATCCGATCCGTATCAGTATATAGTATATGATATATGATATATCTACGAGTGTTTTATCGAATACAATACATACAATAAAAAATGTATAATTAGATTTATAATTTCTTTAGAATTGAATTTCAATACAAATGATCTGAAGAGCACAGCGAGAGCGCGGCGAGCGGCTTGGCTTGGCTTGTCTTCTGTTAACCTGAATACAAAAATACATTATCATAAATATATTCATGTGTATATATATGTATATGTATGTTTATATGTATATGTGTATATGCAATTGGTAATTATGTGTCTATATGGCAAGCAACTGCACCACAAAGACAAAAAGATCTCGACATGATCCTAAGGGACATGGATTCTTGGATGGTGGGTGCTTGGGCCTGGATGCGGATGTGGATGTGGATCCCCTCTACTTGTTGTGCTGCGCGACCATATTGGGCGACTTGTAGAAGTTGTGCACGAACTCCGAGAGGCTGTAGACGGCGCCGGGGCCCTTGCCGGCCCCCATGCAGATAAAGTCGCCTAGACAGTGCATATTGGCTGTGGAAGAGACAAAGGGACTCAATGGTATATCACCGATTCTGTTAGAGCATCTCACTGTTTGATAGAATGGGTGGATATGAGGGCGGCGGCTTGATCCAGCTGCCATCCGGCCGTCGCATGTGCCGCCGGTCCGAAGAGAACTCAATGAGATATGTGTCTGCGGGTATGACCCTGAAGAATCTGCAAATACGTACGGATTTGTAAGAAAATCATGAGTCTTCATGGAGTGGGGGGGCCTCACCTGTGATGCTCCGGTCGCAGGGCCAGATCGGAGCGAAAAGTCTCCGTCACGTACTTGTGGAAGTATGTGGGGAAGGGCAGCGTGGTGTCCAGATCGAACACCAGGCAGCGGTTCGGCGAGGGATTGTGCATGAAGAATACATGGTAGTCCTGTGTGGAAAACGAGGTGAAAAGAGTCATTATATACTGAAAAGATTTGAAGGATAAGAACTCACCCATATCACAACTTGATCGTCGCCCCGTCCGGCCTTCTGGCGCCACAGCGGCACCGTGCGCCCCTCGTTGGACACGAAAACCGCATAGCATGTGGCCAGCTCCTCGGGCCGCGTCCGCTTCACCTGCTCGCAGAGCTTCCACACGTTCTCCTCGCTGCAAATGGCAAGTGGTAAGTGTCAAGTGGGTTGGGTTATTCACCAAGCGACTACTGGTGCACTTTCTGAGCCCCAAATCCCTGCACGAAATGCCAACGGTGCCCGCCCCGGTCTGGCTTATCAGCAACAGGCCGCCTCTTGGCTTTCAAATTACAATAATCGATTTTGCTTAGCACGCGGCTGCCTCTATCGTCTGGCCCCAAGACCCAAAACCCGTGTCCCGTACCCTGTTGCCGTGTGTTTCATGACTGCCAGTTTAGTGTTTATGGCTCTTTCAAATAAATTCCAATCAATTTTGCTGCCACACATTGTTGCTCGCATGTTTGTCCTGGCGTGGCATGGCTGAGGACGAAGTCGAGGACCAGAACAGCCCACACGAGCCACAAACAAGTGGGCGGCGTCAGGTGCATGCGAAGGAGGCATTAAACTCGGTCCACGGACCCAACGACAGCATTACCCCATAGCTATTCGCAAACCCTTGCAGACCGAACTTTCTACTACGCTATACCATGCTCCCGCTTTCCTACCTATCCAACTTGTCCAAACAATAGTGAAATAATAGTCAGATATCTTTAGAACCAAGGACCGAGAGCTGCAACTTTCTGGGCGAAGTTACAGTACCCTTCTGCAGAGTACAACAAAAGCATTCACTCGCAGAAAGCTTGGAAGAACAATTCGCCATATCAACAGTTACAGCCGCACACAGAGTGGAGGAAGGGAACAAGGAACGGGGCAGGAGAGGCATAAGGTTGGTAAGTGGAACCCACTCAAGTGGCACGGTCAAAAGTCGCGACTGGAAGTGGCTTGTGGCGATATCGTGAGCTGGCGTTATTAATGCCCTGCCAGGCACTGATTGGGGGGCGAACAGTGGGAGGACGTGCCTCGCTGAAGAAGTGTGCCCCAGCCCAGGTCGACAGATAACCGAATGGCACATCCCACTGCCGATGCTAATGGCTGAGTGCCAAAGCCAGAGGGCAACGTATAAACTTTCTGTTGCACTACCCCCCTTTCGCTTCACCCTCTGAACAAACAGAAGAGACGGCATGCTGCACATTTCCACACACAGATGGCGCCTCAGTGTGTATGCATGTGTGAGAACGAGAGTAAGAGTGAGAGCGAGAGAGAGTGCGCGTATTTATTCCAAGATTCCCCCACTGGAAGGAGATGATGGAGAGGTGGCAATGGCTATGGCTATGGCTATGACGCTGGCGATGAATCTGAGTGCAAATGTGAGTGCGCGAGCATTTTGCGAATGTGAATTAATCAATGAATATGTCCTGAAGGGTGGCCACGAAGGGTCCCTTCCTTTGGGGAAGGGGGTAGGATGAGGTCAGAGAACGCTACGACATTTCATCCTTATATGTACATGTAAATGGTGTGTGGTGTCGGTGTCTGTGTTTGTACGTGTGCATGTGCGTGTATAAAAACTTTTTATGTCCTATGAAGTTCACTTTTTCTGCTTTTGTTGTTGTGTGTATGTGTGTGTGTGTAGGCGGAGACGAACATAAAACTCATATCATGCCATTCATACCACTCCCGCTGCTGCCTGGGGGGCCTCCTGCCTACTCCTTGGGGGCGCCTTCCTGCCAACTTGCCATAACTCTGTCCCTACCGCTACCCCCACCCCATCCATGTCCTCGTCATCGGCATCGTCTGTGCCGCCATTTTTGCAATTAGCATTTTAAATATTGCACCAACACACAGATGGAACACATGCACGCTGTATGTGTGTGTGTGTTTAATTTTCGCTTTGGTTTGTTGTTTCTGTTGTTGTTGCTGGTGCCGCTGGCCGTTTGTTTTATAGTCGAAACGCGCCTCTCGCATGTGGCAATAAAAACGAACCAAAAGGTTCAACCCGCGCCACCACCCCCACCACACTACTACACATACAGGGGCACCAACACACAGGCACACACTGTGGCACGCTTTTCTTGTTAGGCAGACATGACCGTTTGACCTAATTTCTGGTGCTGCGCAGCGCGGCACGGCGCCGCATCAGGACTCGGAGGACGGGAAGTTGAAGAGAAGAGCATAGAAGGATAATCAGGAAAGATGAAGAAGCATAGATGCAGAGACGGGACCGAAAATTTGGCGGATTTGAATGCGATGCGTGGGGCGGCGACGAGCGAGGGGTCAAGGTAAATTAAATAAATGGAATAGCTAACCGAGAGGACAGCCTCTGTACGGCACCCAAAGATTTAGAAACTGAGATAGAAACTGCTCCGAGGCCCGTACCTTCTTTAAAACATGCCTTGCAAGGAGCCAAGGAATAAACACACAAACGCATAGACGGAGAGGGACAGGGGGACAGCGGAAAGAACAAAAGGCTCCCCCGCCCCTTGCCAACCACGGCGAATGTTGTTGCCAAAAGAGATAACGCACAAAAATAAAAGATACATAATTAAAAGAAGCAATGCTCCAAAGGTAAGGACTGGCCAATCCACAGATAATCATTCACAAAAGAAGAAATTTCAAAAGGGGTTTCACAGTCGAAAATTTCAGTGAACCATTCTCTTTTATTTCCTCCTCCATCTGTCTTCTGTTCATTATTTACAGCTAAGCGAACGCTAGCATAGTCTTAATATTATGCCTCGTCCTTCAAGGTGAATGATTTTGCCTAATGAAAAAGTTTTTGCCCACCCTGCCTGTGCGCATTGTTGTGGCTGTTGCTTCACCGACTGGGGGCCGTGGGGCAGGTTCACGACTATGGGTATGACTATGACTATGGCTTTGTCTACTCACCAGTAACAGGACACATAGGAGCAGTCCGCTATTTTGGGGAACAGAAAGTCAGTGGTCATCTCGATGCGTTTCTTCTTCCGGGACTGGAACTGAACTGCAGTTTGTGGGGTAGTCCAAGTGCTGCGGAGGATTCTGGATCTGGGTCTGGATCGGGACTAAGTCGGGATCTGTTGATTCTACTTAATTGTCACTGGGAATTTGGGGGGGGGGCCTCTCTAGGTCACAGCGAGGGATAATCACTGCCTGGACATAGATATGGACCTGGACATGGCCGTTGCGTGTGTATCTGTATATTTAGCTGTATCTATAGCAATATCTATGGCTGCTGCTGGTGAGTGACGAAGCCCTGTGCTGTGCCGCCTGGCATTGAGTGCACTGCTGGAGGGGAGAAGGCGGAGGAGGGGTAGGGCTGCTCTGCTCTGCTGCTGCTGCTGCTTTGGTGGTCCTCCTGGGGTCGGCCTCAGCGGCATTCCATGATTGTTCTGATGGTGACTGCTCCGACAGCAATGGCGACGAGGACGAGGACGAGGACGACGACAATTGGGAAATTGTTGACAGCACGCTGGATGGTTGGGAACTGGGGGCTTGGAGGGTTGGAGGGTTGGAAGAGGAGTTGGGTTTAGGGGAAAACTCTGTTTTTATATTTCTGTTTGATTATGTTGCTTTTGCTTTGCTCTGCTTTCCGCTCTTCTGCTTTTCCAGGATGCTGCCACACGCACACACACACACACACTGATACGGACACGATTACACATACACAGCACTCGCTCTCTGTGCACCGTTATCCACGCTCCACCGCTCTCCTGGACCCGAACGAACCGAATTATCGAAGCGTTTTCTCGTGTCTCTTTCTGTTTTTCCGTTTTTCACTTTTCTTTGAGGTTTAAATTATGTGGATGCTGCTTCTGTTGCTTCGCTTCTGCTGCTATATCGTGGGGACGCGCACCTGCCTATAAACAAGGCCGCTTATCCCTCATCCCACCCTGCCGCTGCTGCTATGGCTGCTGGGGCCTGGGACAACAGTAGACTCGGAGGCGACACACTTAACGGCTCATGGAGGATTCTGGATGCTGCTCCACCGCACAAGTGGCACTGTCACCGTTGTTTACTTTCGGAGCAGGACTTTGGCTGCTTGACCACTCTTTCCGCGCTCCACGACACCGCAATAAGCGAGCTCGGGATTCTTCGATGTGGGAATAGAAAAACACGCACAAAAACGACAAAAACAATTCTCACAAAAACTGATTAAATGAATGACTCCGAAATTTTGCCGTTCAAAATGAAACCTTATAATTCCCAATTAGATTTTTCCAAATACGGACAAGCGCGGACAAACGGTATTGGAATTATAAAAATCAAACTGGAGCTCACTTTGTAACGCAAAAATGAGCCATTCGCACTAACTACACACTACACACTAGAGGTGTCAAACCATCGAGGGCACTATCGATAGTATCGATATTTTACTGCTAGTCTCTACTATCGACGGTTTTGCGACTATCATAATATTATCGAGCTACAGTCGTTGCGCTTTTGATATGTTTGGACTGGCTGCTATAAAATACGAAGACAAATTTGTAAACAAATCGACAGGTGGCATCTAATTTTTACAATGGACAAGTTCCTAAAAGGTTTCAATGGTTTTTTAATAATTATTAGAGCTATCACGATAGTATCGATTGTTTTTTCAAAACATTCGACGTTGATATTCCTCGATATTGATATTCCGTTTAATATTACCAGCTAGCTGGGACTCTCAGCCCTAAACAAATAATTTTATCCGATAGATACATAAATTTTTTAAGAGATTGGCAAGTTTTCCGAAGTCCTTTTTATTGGATTATTTACATATTAAGGTTCAAACAAAAACAGCATAAAACGAATTTGTCGTCGGTTTGTGGCGCTGCCAGACTCGTGCAATTCGTAGTTGCTGCGGGCTGCCATACCGTGATATTTTGTGATATGAAATTCGTCAATTTTGATATTCAGTTTAATATTACTAGATAGTTGGCCCTCTCAGCCGTAAACAAATAATTTTATCCGATAGATACATAAATTTCCTTCAGGATTGGTTAGTTTTTAGAACTCTTTTTCATTGGATTGTTTACATATTAAGGTTCAAACAAAACCGGCCAAAGCATAAAACTTAAATGTTGACTAAATGTTACGTCAGTGTTGCTGGTCAACCAAGTATCTTCTATGCGTATGTACTTTTGTATACCTTATTTCTTTCAATGGGTGTGAAAAGTTTTGTTCCAAGCTCCAGTGAAACATTATTTATGATTTTATCCTAGATTGACATGTTTTTTACCTCTTAATGTATATGTTTTGTGTTTTATAAATACATTTATCCCGGTTCTGATACCTATTATTGGAACCCGTGAGCTGCAAAATTTCGTTAATATCTTGAAAACAGAGACTGAGTAGTTTCTGCATTAATTGGAGCCTGAAATTACAAACAATACCTCAAGTCCATAATATCCATTTTCCCAAGGTATGCAGATTGTTGCTCATTCCGTGCCAAAGTTGCACAGCAATGCTGCTAATTCATTTCCCCATGTTGATGCAATTTTTCCCATACAAATCAAATGTATCTTACGGGAACGCGTATGGAATAAAGATTCATTGTTGCGTCATTGTATGGGAAAAATCACACTCTCCCCCCGAAATGGGGGAAAGTCTCCACAAAACACTCTATTCTCCACTAAAAAGAGACCACCTCTCCACGACATTGAGAGCGAATTTTGCAAACCCCCGAATTGAGAGCGAAAAATGTCAGTATTTTTGGTGCGCTAAATTTGAGTTTGGCGGTCAATTTGAAATGTGTCTTAATATTTGGAAAAATAAATATTTCACTTGATTTGTTTTTTGAGTGACCTCAGAAACCGAAAACCAGTAACCAGTAAATAACAAAAGAAAAAATTAAAAATTAATAATTTTTTTAGCCCGATACTATCATGATAGTATCGATTGTTTTTTTCAAAACATTCAAAGCTATCGATGGCTCAACTATCAATCGTTTGACACTACACACAAAAGTGACAGGCTGGGCAGTGTGACCGTAGACTTAACAATACACAATACCGCCTCAGAAATATACCAAAATAAATATATCGGAAAAGTATCGATATCAGGGTAACTGACACTTGCTAACTGCTGCGGCACGAACACAGCCTCCAGCCTAACGGTTTTTCGTTTATGGGATTTAACACCTCGTAAATGTATCGCTATCTAATCGGGACAGAACCGACTTCTAATGGCCAATTGACAGCACGCAATTTAGAGTCAGCCTTTGTCTCTTCGCTTAATATATTGCTGGGCAAATATTGCAGCAGTGAAGGCGAAATATATTCATTATTCGATAAGATAAATCACTGCTTGTTGCTGTAATTGTTGCGGGCTCTTGAGGGTGGACTTCCACTTGCCTGATGTCCCACAAACAGCAACAACAGCGATGACAGCATGGCGATTAAACTTAAACTGATAAGCCAATGCCGCCGCAAGTATCTGTAGTATCTGTAGTGCTTGTGGCATATGGTAACGCAGCAATTGATGTTGGGGCTGCGCGCGGGGCTCATTAAGTATTTATTGGCATTTAATTTGCATTTGGCGTGTAAAGGTTATGTCAACCCATCCGATAAGCCTATTGCGCACTGGCGTAGGGGATCGCCAGAGACAGAGACAGCGGGAGAGCGGTATACTAAACCCCTTTATTCATTAGAGAAGCCAGCCACAAATCGATCCACAACAATACCCCACTATCAGCAGCGATCAAAACGATCATGACACACAAAAGTCAAACAGCACAGCAATCCAGTGTCCGGTGACGTTTCCTCTAAGTTTCCTCAACGGGGCATTCGCCTTATCGCCCCTGCCTGTCCGCACATGGGAGAGTCTGTTGGGAGAGCGCAGAGCGCAGAAATCCGTATAGTTAAGCGGTCCGCAGAGCACAGCAGAGGAGTCAGGCGTCGAGTTGAGGCGCGTCCAACGTGGCAAGCGGCATTCAGTAGGCTACAGCGTTTCGCCGTCGACGGGTTCGCTCTATTCCGCTGTGCCGTGACAGACTTGCCCAAGCATTGCCTCGCTTCTTGGCCATAAACACACCGGCTAGATTTTTGGCCTGAAGTGGCAGAACCTGTTTTCCCACTCTGTGGATTTTCGGCAGCAGGTTATCTACCCTCGTGCTGGAAAACCGTCCATCTATCCGAACGATCCATCTCCAAACAGAAGCTCCCCTCCCCACCCCTCCCCTCACCGCGTGAGTATTTTTCAATTAATTTGTGTGGATGCATAGCTGTTAATTGGCGTCGATTGATCGAAGTGATCCCCAAGCACATGCGATCCACAAACAAAACAACAAACAGAAAAGTTCTTACGAATCGCGAATCAGCTGTGGCGCAAATCCGTGAACCGTGGCCACTGGGCAGGGTCCCCTCCTATCGCCCTAGTCGTATCGTTTGCCCTTATCGTATGGTTGCCTACGAAAGTAATAGTGCTTAGGAGTGAGACAAATAATAATACAGTTCAAAATTCATAGAATAACTCGGTTCTAACCATAGTCTCACGACAACGCAAAGATGGCCTGATGTCCAAGACCCGTTTTGGAAGAGATCTACCCTGCCCAACCCTAAAGCTACAAACATGCACAGAAATTATCCGATTGGTAGAGCTCTACAGGTTGCCGACCGAATCTTTTGGGGATGCCTAGCCATAAAGCCCCCTTTGATATCCGAATAATCAGGTTGTGCATCTATCTAAATGATGGAGATATCTCAAAGATTGAGAGGCCAATTGAGAGCGGGGCCAGGGCGGCTGTTACAGATACAGATACAGAAAATATAACTTTATACTGCCGGATATGCTTTCGTTTTTTGCGTTGATATATGTACGAGTTGGTACTGACAAAATACTTGAATTAGGCTATGGGTGTGGGTACGTACGTACTTATAGTGCAAACAACCAGTCACAACGACGAGTCTTCGGTGGGGATTACGACAACTCGTATCTGGGGAAGTTTACCGCCAAGTGCTAATATTGGCTTTACATCATCCACTCTATTCGCAGTCCGCAGAAGAGATAACAGGAGATTCCTCGACCGGTACCGGCACCGGCACGTGACTCGGCCATGGGTCTGACAGACGAGGAGCCACACACCAATGGACGCCAGCCTCAGATCGTGTCGGGCTTGGACCGGCCGCTACAGACGAAGCCACTGGGTGAGCAGCCACGAGCCGTGCGCCGGCAGGCGATTGCAGTCATCCTGGCCAACGTGGGCGTGTTGTCCACGGGCATGACATTGGCCATTCCCACGGTCACGCTGGACCAGCTGAAGGACGAGATGGAGCCGGTGCACCTGAACGGAACGCAGGCGTCCTGGTTCGCCTCGGTAAACGCCCTGGCCGCACCACTCGGCGGCCTGCTGTCCGGCGTGCTGCTCGACAAGATCGGGCGCAAGCGGACGCTGGTTGTGCTGAACATCCTGACCATCTCTGCCTGGATCCTGCTGGCGACCGCCAGCCAAACGGACTCCGACTCTTTTTTCTGGCAGCTCATCGTCTCCCGCTTCATCTTGGGTATGCTTCATCGATTAATCGATTGTCGATCACTGCTAACCGATTAACTTCCAGGCATTGGCATGGGCCTAGCCAGCGCCCCGCCTGGAGTGTACGCAGCGGAGATCAGCGTGCCTCGGACGCGTGGCAGCCTCATTCTGGGCACCTCCATCTCGGTGGCCGGGGGCATCACAATCCTCTACGGGATCGGGTACTTCATCCGCGACGACTTCCGGCTCATCGCTCTCATCTGCTGCGGCTACCAGCTGGTAGCACTGCTCTGCGTCCTGCCCCTGCCCGAGAGCCACTGCTGGCTGCTGGCCAAGAAGCGGGTGGCCGAGGCTAAGAAGTCCCTCAACTACTTCCGCGGCCTGGACAAGTCCCGTGAGTAGCATTCTCCAACTGTGCCCAGTCGCCAAATTTGCCCGGTACAATTATCTCTTCTCTCTCCACAGCGCACATTACCCATCCCCAGGTGCTGGAGGAATTCCAGGTGCTGCAGAAGTCGCTGCAGCTGCGGGACGCCGAGGAGAAGCCCTCGTTCCTGCGCAGCCTGCGGCTGCCGGAGGTGCACAAGCCGCTGCTCATCCTGATGTCACTGTTCGCCTTCCAGCAGCTGACGGGCATCTTCGTGGTCATCGTGTACGCCGTGCAGATCTCCAAGGAGGCGGGCATCTCTATCGATCCCTTCATGTGCGCCCTCCTCATCGGGCTGGCCCGCCTGCTCACCACCTGCCCCATGGGCTACGTCCTGGAGGCGTGGGGCCGCCGTCGGGCCGGCATCATCTCCACTCTGGGCATGGGCGCCTGCATGTTCCTGCTGGCCGGCCACAGCTGGAGCGCTCTG